GGGTAAAGAACTCAACCACTTGTCTATGATCCGATGATCCATCTGATAGATTCGCCGACGAACGAACGAACGAACGGTGTGAATTCGATCGAAGTTAAAACCGAGTTACAGGGGGCAAACTAAGTTTTAAGTGAAACACGAACCAAATTGAAACAATGCTGTGAAATTAAAACAAGGAGTCGATCCGATCGTTGATTAAAATAAACTCGATGGAACATACACATCATGTTGGTGTCGTTTCGCGGAATTTCTCAGTGGATCAAGCGCTCTGTCTCTCGTCTTCAAACAGGATTAGTAAAAAAAACTTTGCTTCAGACTCAGGAAAAAAAAAATAGAAGAAGATTCATAGCAGACAAACCAGAGATATATAACGTGGCCTTCCAAGACAATTTCACTGTATATATTTCAACTGTCTCGTAGCGAATCCGAAGGCTCTTACGCGTGGAACATACCTCAGAGATGGTCATTCTTCTTCCGCGTTTCTCCGCCTCGCGACGATTCTCCGCTTCCCTCTTCTCCGATTCTGTGTCGGGGATCAGATCGGTGACGTCGTCGTCGTCCAGGTCGTCGAACATGTAGTAATCGCCGGATCTGATAGCTGATGGAAAAAGAAATCACGGTTTCTTAACGACCGGAAAGAGAGCGAAACCGCCCGTCACTTACACTATGTACGTATATGTGTGCCAAAGCCATGCACGGTCAAAAGTTTCGTTCAACAGAACAGTGGTGATTTTTTTTTAAGAAGACGTTATATCCACAAGGCTCGGGGGCAATTTAGTAGACGGTACACGATAATCTATCGGGTCTAGAGAAATTGTTAGTACGATCACGCTTGTTAAAATCCGCCCACCACCATTGTGTTTGCCTCGCTGTACATAATCGGAGAAAAACTTTTCGGGGTGATATAACACATACACACGTATACACAATTAGAAAATCGGTATCAAGTATACGTATATGTACAGCAGCGTGTACTTTCTGTAAAAGCAGAAGGAGAGTTAGTACGGGATTTTTGGGCACGTCTGTTAGTAAGGAGAAAAAGCCCGGAAAAGCTGCGGAATAAGAGAAAATAATGAAAAAAATGATAATGTCCATTTACCCTCTCTGTTGGTCTTTGGCACGCGAACTCTGTACAACGGCCGTGTCCCTGGATAGAGAGAATCTAACGGAAAGAAAAAACACAAAATGTATAGATGACGAACTGAAAAGAAAACAACGTGGAAATTCGTCGGCACGGAGACAGATCTATGTTACAGTAAATATGCAAGTTTATGTTACACATCGAGCGATCACGCTCGATTCCTGGCGTCCGATGGTCAGCAGGATCGACGGGATACGGGACGATCTGTCGAGAAATTCAACGGAAGTTTTTTTGGAATTTGGTTAATTTTTTCCCCTATAAAAGAGGAAAAGTCAATTATGAAGATGACGAGGTGGGAGGGATGTGATGTTCGATGCTGAAGCGGGATTCTAATCGATGGGATGTTATGGGTAAACAGAGACGCGGTACGTTCAACTATGTACAGCTAATTAGATTCAAATAGATTACGACATCTAACAAAGATCGATCGAAAGTTGACGGAAGCGTACGACAGAAAGATACTCTTAGAAGAACGAAAGTGGGAAAGAAATTTAGAGAAAGAGATTCGTCAATGATATCGAAGATTCTTTTTGCTATCTAAGATAAATTTCATAAAATAACAATTTAAGTGTTCGTTCAGAAAGTTAAAAACTCTCAGAAGTATTTAAATCTACAGTGACCCTTATTCCGACCCCAGAGAAAAAAATTCGAAATCAGAAATCATTCTTCAAAGAAAGAAAAAAGAAAGACGAAAAGTATCCAAAGTGGACCTATTCTTTCAATAGACAGCACTGTATCGCACATTGAAAGCAACCGGTACACTCTCAAATCCCGAAGAAACCCTACGAATCCTCAAGAACCACAGAAAAAAGAAAAACAAAGAAACGACTGAGAATATCGGTGCTTCGCAGATGATCTATAAGTGCTATCGCGGAAGCGTATGTACAGGACATCGTAGCGATTCGACGACGACGATCTTGTTCCCGTTGTGTCGTTACATGTGTGATGAGATAGCGGGGAACGTGACGTGGTGGAGACGATCGACTGCCTTGGTGTCTGGAGCTCGTTCATCCACGGCGGCCCGATGTAACTCGACTGTCGACGATGATGTCTGATCGACGAGTTCAGCGATCGATCGGGTTGTCCGCGATGATAAGGCGGCGGTGAGAACACAGGAAACGTTTCGTCCGGCGATGGTCCGCGTGGATTCAGCTCGCTACTCGGCGGGGAACCGAAAGAAATACGTGTAGGCTCGAGATAACCCTCGAGGCTCACTGTCATGACAGCTGAATTAGGTGTCGGCGCCTGCAAGATGGACGCGGCTCGCGGTGTCAACGGAGGTGGCTCGTCCTCGTCCTCGTCTATCGGCGTCTGATAACCCTGAGGAGGTGTGTGACCGGACGAGACGCACGAGCTTACGCTCAAAGATCTCGCCAGAGGTGCCTCTCCTTCTTTTTTGTTTTCGGCGTGCATCAAATATAGAGATTTGGTTGTTAGCCTACGTACGATTCGCTTTGGGCACCTACGTCTGGACGCTTAGGCTATTTCTCGTTGTCGATTACTGCTCGTGGAGTTGGACAGATTGAAGGAAGTGTGGTAAAGTAGAATTTCAGGAATTCGATGGAGAAGAAGATTGTTAAAAAAGTAGAACTTTGGTAGTTTGAGGATCTGGGTGGATCAAGGAGGTCATTGAACCAAGAGGTAATTTCGTCCGGTCAGTCTGAGTGTCTTGTGCCCTAGAGAAAGACAATTAGGAACGTTGAAATGATCCTTACCGACTTTGTGCGTCTGTGGTTCCCTATAACTAGGCCCTTGTATCTTCCTCTGATTGGCTTTGATCTTGTCCATCTTGAACTTCAATTTTTGCAGCACGTTCTTCTCGACGTTGTCCTGAATATCGATACGGTTCTGATGTAGCTCTTCCAATAGCTCCGCACCTCTCGATGCTAGGATGCTCATGGCTTTCGTTTCGTCCACTATGTGGAAGAAGTAGTAGCTCTTGAAGAGTCGTTTCTGGAGCAGTAAGAAGCCGAAACAGAGGCCATCCCACACCATGCCAATGTCCTCGCGAGGCACTTCGCAGTCGAATTTGTCTAGGACCATATCCGTGACCGAACTCCGGAATTTTCTTAGGCAGGTGATGCCAAATAGTTGGATGAGTGGACAGGCCAACATGTGGAGCTGAAAATTTCATTCGATAAAAAAATGTCCATAAAGTTTTCTTCGTAAAATAACTCGAGTAGTAATTGGGTTCATTTAAAAAAAAATTGAATTTACCTGTTTTATCAAGACACATCCTACACCCTGAAGCAGAGCCTTCGAGAATATCACTATCACGTTGTAGCCAATCAAGAAATTCCACCATTTTAAGATCGTCTTCACTGGTCTCAGGTAGAAATCACTTCCTTGCCAGAGGAACACAAATGCACCGATCAAATAACCCAACGAGAACAGGTTGGTCCTCTCAGTTCCAGCCAGGAACATGATCGATAAAGTGACCCACATGAGACTCATTAAAACACCTCGTTTCACTACGTCCAACCAGCAATGAATATGGGACACGTAATCCTTGACAGGATTCGCGAAATTCGGTTTCTCCATGTTTTGGTACACGGAATAATTGTGACCAGCTGGAAAATCTGTGCCTGACGCTGAGCTTCTTTGCTCGATTCGGAAAACGAGACTTTGCCTGACGATCATCATTAGCAAAATGAAATCACCTGTAATAAAATTGAAGCTGGAACTTCGTTTCGTTTTAAGACTCACTTAAATTCTATCGAATATTCAATCTCTTACACATCAATTTTCTGGGATTAGGTGGAAAATCAGGGTCAGGGAAGTACATCCACTCTTGCAATCTTCTCAGAGTTTCGGAATTGTGCCACGGGTAATCTAGAAATGAATAAAAATAATTCTCATAGAAAACAATAAAAATTAATGTCACTTGAAATTGAAACACTGTAGATGATTAAGTACCTATACAAAGCCAAGAAGGAGGCGCCACAACGAAGGAATATTGAACAGGCAACAAAATTATGGCGAAGAGTTTGAAGAAGGGCCAAATCCTAGATATTGTTGTTCTCTTCAGGGAGAAAAATAACAAAAGCCATATGCTATAAAGAACCGAATAAAAGTCCAGTCTCGTTCCAATTAATGCCACGATTCCTATTAAACAGAATTCGACTCCAAATTTGTAGAATCCATAATTGAAGAGGAACTTCAAGCACTCTGGCAACCCTTTGTCAGCAGTTTCTCTAGTGACCGATGGAAACATGACTTGAGGAGTGTCTAAAGGTTCGCTGTGTGCCTTTCGGTAGAAACATTGTCGAATCCTGATGATTTTTCTCAAAGTGGTCACTACTAAAATTCCTATGTAGCCTTTTAACAACTCTGCCAGTTGTCCTGGCTGAGCTTTCTTTATTCCAAACCACTCTGCTATGTTGTACACGGTATTGTTGCTGCCATACTGTTTCACCGCGTCCTCTACGTTTGTCTGTGAATTAAAACGGTGAAATTTATTGGAAAAAACGTGTCGATTAAATTTTTAAGTATTTACCAAGCAATGAACGTTCCAATTATTATGGTCGATGTACTGAATTTGATACAACATTTTTCCGACCATCAGAAGAGCAATGATCGCTGCAATTACGTTCAGAGTGCATATTTGAACGTTTCTTCGTGAATTGATCATGGTAACTGCTATCACGACGAATACGAAATTAATAGCACACACCTGAAATTGATTCGTTAATTAGAAGATCAATTAAAGATTGAATTTCAGTGGTTGATTAATTTTCACTCACATCGTTGACGCAGAAGAGCATCACAGAGATGAAGATGATCTTTTGCATGTGGATCTCGAGAAACAGCCAGGTGTAATTGTACAAATTCAACACATGCTCCACTATTTTACGGAATAGCGCTAATCGTTCCAATTTGGACATTTCTAAAAATTAGGATCACATACATATACATGTTGAAGTGTTAATTTTCATAGAAAAGTTCAAAATTATACGTTTTAACTGTCCCAAAGTGTACATGGGTTCTTTGTCCTCTTCGACGAGGAAAACGTCACCTGGCGAAGACGGTGGCAATGTTAAAATAGGAGAATGGCCGAGACTCGATCGTTTATCTCGAGGACTCTCTTCGGTTCTGCAATTTTCAATTACACGTTTCATTAAATTACTCTATTAAATTATTCCAACGTCACACACTAACCCAAATCTCTCGATGTTCGTGACTTCCAAGAAATCCTTGTGGAAATAATGAATCTGAAGGACAGTGATGATCACGAAGAAGGTCGGTGTTAGTAGCCTAACGAAAAGATCTTTAGTCTCGTATTTCTCCAAACCAATGTCCATCTGCAAATTCTTGTCGATATGTAAATAATTCCAGTACTCCGGGAAATTGTGGAATTGATAAGTGTACACGAGTATTAGCATAATCACGGAGTACCCGATAACCGTGATCCAGAATGGATACATCATCTTTCTCCACACAGTCCAAGAAATCTAAGAAAATCAAATCATAAAATAAACTATCTGAAAAATATTTCATTGGCTTACTATTGTTCCTTCCTTTTTACCTGGAAGGTAATGACTAGAACAAGGAAGAGAGACATGTAAATGATCCTGAAGACAGTCATACGTTCGCCGGTAATTCCACAGATGAACAGCATAATGGCGACCACAGCGATCCAAAATTTGGTCAGCAAGTTCTTCAAAACTATGCCAACGTCCTTCATAAATTTGCTTTTAATTTCCGGCGCCTCGTGATTCATGGCCGTGGTAGCTGTCGAAACAGAGACGTGCAACGGCGCTACCATATCTCTCAGCGCTGAGGAACGTCTCTGGTTGCTTCGTTCAGCCGTGTACTGTCTCATTGTTATCCAAAACATTGATATGAATAGACACTGTGAAACAGTCGGAAAGATTGTCATGAATAACACATCGTGCTCGTCGCATAGATAGACATGGAAATCGTCGTTACTTTGACTACTAGATGCCAACGACTGAGACGATCAGCTTTGCTGAAACCGATCTCCGACATATTTATTCCGTTTATCTCCGTCGGCAGTTCTTCCTCCGTCAGGTCCATGCTGTAAATGAACTGCATAAGTAGCAACAGCATCGCGTAGCAAACGATGAACGGAGAACACTTCATCATGGATGCGCGTTTGTTAGGGACCATCCAGAGGACCAGGGCCCAGAGTAGGAGTGCAAACGTCGTCCAACTGTGATACATTATACTCCAAGTCTGTCGAAGATTCGAGTGAAATTGTGAAAAATATTCAGGAGAGAATTATTCGATTTTTTACTCTTACCATCATTATGATATTCGTGGCAAGATAGGACGAGTTAAGTATCAACTGGAAGATGGAGTACACGGCCATAATGACGTGCTCGATGATTCCAGATTGTTCATCTGGGGCAGCTAGGAATTATTTAATTAGTCGACGTAATTTAATATTTTCAAATTCGATTTAATTACACGTTCTTGACAGACCTTCGCTGAGACTTTGCATCTGAATGCTGTCGTCTTGATGGCCATCCTGCACGATCACGCTTCCGGTTGAATCTTGGAGCAGTCCTGTTCTCCCAGACCCAAACCGCATCAACTATATCAACGAAATCGACGATATTATTCTCTGTACACCTTCAGAACTTCGTCTCTATGTAGACTATTATCTGTTTAATACTGTGTTCTTCGACTTCGATTAGATATTCGTGTCTCGCGAAGCGAAAGAACTTGTTTCTTAAGCGTAAAACATGCAAGCTACGTATAAAGTGAAACGATGTTTCCTTCACCGATAGAGAACGATGATCGTGTGTGAAACGTGGAGTGAAATGTGGTAATTGATTGTTTAAATACGGAAAAAAAAAAATACAAATAGAAAAAGAAATAAATGAAGATGGCACAGGAATGTATAAAGAGTGACTGCCGTGAGATGAGTGAACGATGAGTGATCGCTGTGATAATCAAACGTGCAAACTTAATCATTATACGTACGGGTGTGCGCTCGTCGACAGGTGGGTACGACGAATTAACGATCAGCTTCTAAAACAATGGCAAACTAAACATAGCGGCATCCAAACGGAAAACGAATTTGCTCAGCATTAAAGAACAACCGCAAATCTGGAAGGCGACAGCAAATAAAAACACGGGAGTCGTCTAATGAGAGAGACGGGGTGAGTCAATAAAGTAAAAGTTCGTTCTAACGTTCTCGTTAATCAGAGAAATGAAAAGGAAAAAAAAGAAAATTCATGTAAATTTCAGTCACTACATTCTCCTTATTTTCTGTTACTTTTTTTTACTTTCGTCGTGGAAACTTAGGGATGGGATAAAAATAAATACACGATCATACGCGACGTGCAAGTTGAAATCATAGGATGGACGATAAAAATTTTGCATCTAGAAAAAGAAGCTTTGATAGATCGAGAGAATGATCGTGAAAAATAGTGGAGAAACCAGGCTCATGCAACACGAAATCCTTCTTACGCGAGCCTTTCGTCGCGCCGACTGCCATCTTTGAGATGGTGTCCTTCGCCTGATGGACACGTGCCTGGACAATGGTGTGTCCAGGTTCTCCAGTTTGCCGCTCAAACGTTTCACTTTCTTTGCCTGGAACGCCTCGTTAGTAAAAGCAACGTTCTTCAAAGGAAAACACTTGGTTACGAGATACAATTTTGTCAAAGATCCTTGGAATATTTGGTTAGTTGAGAGAATAGAGATCGTAGGAAAGAAGCATTGTTCGTGTTATTCAACCGAGATACCATTGTTAATCATGTACACACTCCTTAACCGTGAGTTACAGTAAATCGAGTCAGTAACAGACACACAGCACGCGACGTGCATCGTTAGAACGATTCAAGCTTTAGAACAGGTTTCGTCGATGAGACAGAGAATCCGTTTCGTTAAATTCCCTGGCATTCGAAACTTAAATACTCGCTAAACAGTACAATTATAACCAACACACGGCGGTGTACAATTGTACTCGCGGATTATACTTGATTTCCTTGACCTCGTTAATTGCAATCTTAATCGATAGAACGCTGCGTCGAGCTAGATTTTTATTATTTTGTTATTTTTCCATCTTTCTACCAGACTCTCCGTTAGATCCCTCGATCAGATTAATTACGTGTTCTACAACGTTGCTCCGACGCTAAGAGAGATTTCTTAGTAATCAAATGAAAAACATGTCCAATGTACCAATAACAGACTCACCGGTTTTTTACTTAAGAATTGCGACTGCAACGCCAGAACGTAGTAGAGCCAAAATAGCCTGAGACAGTAGCCATAAATCAGCCAATCGGCGTCGTCTGTGTACCGCACGTCTCTCGGGTCGCTGCAGTTCGTCCGATAAACAGGGGTCAGAGCGAAATAACGTTGCCACGTGCTGTTCACGGGTATCAACTCCTGAGGAACTTGGTTCTGATAGCTGAGCAAAGTGATGATGTGAAGGACCACCACGAACATCACGAATCTGCACAGCACAGCGAACCCCTTTCGCAGTTCTTTGTTGCATGCCCACCAGGTAGCGGCTCCGAGGAAAACGAGGAAGTAAAAGCCACCCTCTATCGATGGTTTCAGGGCTGCTGTGATGCACAGCGAGGCTAGGACCACGTAGGTTCCGATTCGCCCTAGGAAGTTGATTATCTGAGCAGAGAAAATTATTGGAACTTTATTAACTGGACGGAAGATTTTTTCGTGTGAACACTTTGGCTGTGTTGTGTCTGCGATCTTCTTGGACGTCTTCCAGCTGAAAGTTTCTGCGGGAGTTTCGTTATTTCACGAGTTTGGATTCTGGGAGGAAATTACGGAATGGAATATCCTCCGTGTGAGAACCTCGGTGGTTGCGTGTGTGTTCCTCTCGAACGCCTTTCAGCTGAAAGTTTCCTTCGAAATTTCGTTATCCTTTGAATTTGAATTTTTATGGGAAATTGGAAGTCGCGAGATTGGGAATTCGATGGAATAGTTCTCTTCCTTCCTCGAAAAATACCTTGGCGGTTCCGTCGACGTTCTTCTTGGACGCCTTGTTGTGTCGATGCAAAGAGGCGTTGTGCTCCTCGTCGATGACGCGGGTTTGCGACAGGAAGCGGCACGTGAAATAGACTATTACACTAGTAGGCAGGACGATTAGTTCCGGCGTTAGCCAAAAGAAGATCTCCCAAACCGATGCGCTATCTAGCCTTACAAAACCTATGTGCCTGAAGATCACTTCCATAGATTCGCCTACAAAAAGGAAGATCGTTGAAAAACACGTGTTCCTTTAATTTTCTCCAAATCTTCTCGAATTTCTTTGTTACGTACAATTCTGAAGGAAGTGTCCATACGTAGGCAGAGCCAATAGAACTATGTGAAAAGTGATTTGGCTGGTGGCTGTGAGAAAAGACAGGCCTATACATGTCTTCAGATAGTGGCCTGTGTGGCCAGCCATTGTTTTCGCGTCTGGTATGGGCACATGAGGCGAGTATAGCATCAGTGCCAAGTAAACTAGAGACAGTCCTACAGGTCGCCATATTATACCTATTCAATTGAATAATCGTCCGTTTCAAATACCTGTATTCTCCACTCTCATCGTCGTATATTCGACATTCCAAGCAAGAAACTTAAATTAATTTTCATCAAATTTCATAGAATTCCTCGTTAGCATTACCACGGTTCAATATTAAACTCTAACATAAAAGACACGATTGTTTCGCGACATTTTCCACGTCGACGTCCGTCACGCGTATGAAATGCAGTTCATTTTGTTGGCACGCGAAGAAATGGGCTAGCAGAAAGGTCAATTTCAACCTGGGGAGTTCAGAGATGAAACTCTATGACATTTCAGTCCCTCCCGTATCTACGTAGGAATTTCAACAACTCCGTTGTATGAATAAAACAGTCGTTCACGGTGTTTCAGTGCCGTGAATCACACGCTGACGAGAAAGTATCATTGTGGCTATTTGTATGCATGGATCATGGTTCGTGGAATGGAGCATATGCTCGGATAATTGAATTCAGAACAGCGCTACACTTGTACGCGTTAATTGTTTTCGCTTGGACGAGCCGAACGCCGAGCGTAATTAATCCGCGAACAGAAACGTCTTCGCGTGAGAGAAACTATCTGTCGTGTTCGGTTTCTTTTTGGAGAGAAGAAAAACACTTGTAGACGAAAATTCTGCTTGGAAAACCTGCTTCATCTCGCTCCAATTCACGTAACGAGGCCTACGAGACCACTTTCTATTCGGAGAGTGCATTCTGCTTACACTATTTTCTCTTTCCCCCGGTGTGCGTGCAAACGAAAAGTTTGACCGGCTGCCAAGCAAACTGTATTTCCTCTGTTCCGGAGATGTTTCAAAATTACTCCGTTATTCCCAAGTTTTCTTCCCGCCGGTTTCATTCGCTGGAAATATCGACCTCCTTTCGAATGGAAAATTCGTAATGTTTAATTAGGTGCGAACGAAACTCTGGAATCACGCTCTATCTCGACGTACACGCGCGTTAGAAGAAACAAAGTTCTCTTTCTTCCCTTTTGCTTCTCCTCTCTTTTCAACGAAGCGTCGTTAATTATAGAAGTTACCGACAACTAATTATTCCGTCCAGCTTGTGGAAGATGATAATTCGCGCGATAACAACGTTACGTTCAACACTAGCCTCGTAATTCCTCCTTTTTCCCCGCCGACGCGGCCCGATTCAGGTCAGATTATCAAAGAGAGGATGTCAAGAAATCGTTATCATCGACGATAAAAACATGTCGTCTCGCTCGTAAATTTTTCGGTAATTGAACAGTGACATGTATATTTTCTGCAGGAAAGTAGTGATAGTTACAGAAGATCGTTGATAATGGTAGAATTCACGTGTTTCGTCGAACGAAAGTGACTAATTATAAACTGAGTCTAAACATGTCTCGACGCTGCCTCTGAGGCGCTTTCTCAAATTTATGTGTGTACGTGTGCCAGTCGAACTTCCGACCGTTTTCGAAAACGGTCGTTCTTCATTTTATCAAAGGTGGAAACACAGGAGTTACGTCATTCTTATACTTAGAACGTATCCAGTTCCATAACGCGTTTCGGAGTATTTCAATTGTTATTCTACACGAAATTGTTGTCAACGATGAAACATCGTTTAACCGTAATTTATTAAACAGATATCACTCTAATTGGGAAAAAAAAAGAAAGTGAAAACGCCCAGTTGTGTCTATTACGCACCAGGGAATGATTCAACACATGTAGACACCTAGATAACACTCTGATAATTAATAACAGTATTAAGCTGACAACGGTAATAGAACGGTCAACATGTGGACTCTTCGATTTCACGTATCTGTTCGTTAATTTCTGTCGCATTTTTGTACCGTTGTATTATTACATTGAACGAATAATTAATTTTACGAGGAATTTTTTTTTCCTTGACGTTTTTTAAGTTTTAAATAAACGTGAAAAATGTGGGAGCAATTTATTTTCTTTTCTATTTCTAGCTTTAGCTTTGATAATTGTATAGAGTTTCCAGTTTCACACGTTTTCCTCGCCTTCAATGGGAGCAACACGCGTGCGACCTGAGGTCATTAGTCGATTACAAATCATGAGTATTTCAACACGATGATGTCATCGACTGGTTCCTTCTCTCGACTCTCGTATCAAAATTCATCGATTTCTCGTGTAATTTAGATAAACTGTCCAACTTGTTTTCGATGGAGTTTCACGAAATTTTACGAGAATTCGGGTTTTTGTTAACTGGAAAGTGGGACAAGAGTGTAATACACTGGCGAAGCTGCGTTTTACCGATTTTTCAACACGCCCGTAACATTGATAATAAAATATACTATCGTAAAGTGACGTAAGACTTCCTGAAAACGTATCAATGAAAATAGAACAAGTCTTCTATGTGCTTGCCTGTTCAGCGATGTTTTATTAAATAGTAAATAATTTTGTCAACGTGAAATGTAGTTTAATCTTACGATTTCCCAAATTTTCCGAATATAAAAATTTAAACGTTGCGATTTCTCAAATTTTAATGTTACGATCCCTCAAATTTTCAAATATTAAATTATAATGTTACGATCCCTCAGATTTTCAAATATTAAATTATAATGTTACGATCCCTCAGATTTTCAAATATTATATTTTAATCTTACGATTTCCCAAATTTTCCGAATATAAAAATTTAAACGTTGCGATTTCTCAAATTTTAATGTTACGATCCCTCAAATTTTCAAATATTATATTTTAATCTTACGATTTCCCAAATTTTCCGAATATAAAAATTTAAACGTTGCGATTTCTCAAATTTTAATGTTACGATCCCTCAAATTTTCAAATATTATATTTTAATCTTACGATTTCCCAAATTTTCCGAATATAAAAATTTAAACGTTGCGATTTCTCAAATTTTAATGTTACGATCCCTGAAATTTTCAAATATCAAGTATCTGGACGTCCAATTATTATGGCGAACGGTACACAGCGACTCGGAATCTCTGAAATTTGTTTAAAAAAAAAAGTACATTGATGGCGACACTCACATCCCGTCAAGACAACCGGTAGAACAACCCTGAGGAGGGCCACGTTCAGCCAATACTTCGACATGCCTCGATCTGCTCGAATGGCCTTTCACCCTGAAACACACAGAGAAGAGGAAGGCCGCTCGTAAAACAATCCACAGTGTACGCTGTCAACATCTCGAGATTTTGCAGCGGCAATGTCAGCCCGACTGGAATCGATACGACACTGCCGCAGTCGGATACCTTTAACCTCGTTTTGCCAAGAGAGACGCGGCACCCGTTCGTCGTTCCTTACATTTGGCCTTCGTTTTTACAACCGTTCCGACCCTTTCCAAATTTTCCCATCGCCCGGAATTTTTGTGGCTAACCTTTACGACCGCGGACTTTCGTGGAAAAAAAAAAAAAGAAACGAAAACGGAATACACGCAACGATTCTCTCTGATACGATTTGTCACTTAACGATCCACCGACAGAACGAGGTCAATTCTATTCGATCGAAGAAATGTTAGAACATATTTCACCACTTGTACACCTGCTATATTGGATTTAAGTATGGATTTCTACGCGAGTTAACTGGGCAGCGGTGTAGGTACGATTAACCTGTAAACTCGACTTGTTTTTCTGTCGGAAATTAATTAACATGTTTCTTGTCACGAGAAGGTTACAGCTTGCAGAAGTTAGACCTAACAGAATTCTAAAGCAAAGGTAAGAAGTCACGTTGAAATATCGACCGAATAGAAAAATATCGATAGTGTTCAATACTCGACACTTTAATCTTATTTTCCGCCTATCTTGTTTGAACATTGAACTGTGTTGCTTAACCAAATGTTTTACTTTCGACGATTATCGTGAATCGTGTTTAAATTGGCAAGAAGATTAATCGGTTACCTTACCTTGATTCGTGCAAGCATAAGTATCGCGCAACGTACTTCAAAACGAAGACGAATTAAGTAATTATACTAAGAGAAATTGAGACATTTCTGAATAAAATAGAATAACCGCGATCTAAAATTGTATCGGTGATATTTCAAGGATGAATCAGCTTTCTCAATTACCAAGTTAAATGGTCACGATCTATTTGATTCGCTTCGAGAATTAATTTCAGTCTAACGATGATAGACTGTATAAATCACAAGGGCCGTCTTTACTCATACAATGCTGTTGTTATTGTCACTGGAAAGTCGCGATCATGCCAAACACTAATGGCACCCAAACACGTAGCGTGTGTGCTCTACGTGTGTGTGAGTGTGTGTGACACACCATCTGCACCCATTTCCTGCTTCCGTGTAAGATTTCACGACGGTATCGGAGTTTCGTTTCTTGACAGAGGGCCTGCTCGTTCGTTGTACACTTTGGACAGTTACCAAAACCACTTTTTCATGAAACCTTGCGATTTCCTGTCAATCCAATACTCGACACATCCTCTCAAACAAATCAGACACGTATACACACAAGGGATAGAAAAAAAATCAATGAAACAGAGAGAGATGTAAGTTTAGAAAAATATATTTCCACAAATTCTTTATACTTTCGTGCATTTACATCGTTAGACTTTTTATTAGGTCTCTTAGGAAAATCCGAATTATTCAAGCACTCCGAATATTCGAATTATCCGAATTATTCAGGCACTCCAAATATTTCAATTACTCGAATTACTCAAGCACTCTGAATATTTCAATTACTCGAATTATTCAAGCACTTTGAATATTCGAATTATCCGAATTATTCAGGCACTCCGAATATTTCAATTACTCGAATTATTCAAGCACTTCGAATATTCGAATTACTCGAATTATTCAAGCACTTCGAATATTCGAATTACTCGAATTATTCAAGCACTCTGAATATTCGAATTATCCGAATAATTCAGGCACTCCGAATATTTCAACTACTCGAATTATTCAAGCACTCCGAATATTCGAATTTCCGAATTATCCAAACTCTCCGAGTATTCAAATTTCCGAATTATTCAAGCACTCCGAATATTCGAAATATCCGAATAATTCAAGCACTTCGAATATTCGATTTATCCGAATTATTCAACCACTCCGAATATTCGAATTACTCGAATTATTCAACCACTCCGAATTATTCAAACAGCTCGACTATTCGAAGTTTCCCAGCACTACCTTCTCTCCAACAGTATTAATAGAGAACACTCGCATGATTATTCGCGATCAATGAAAACTCGAGGGAAAAAATAATGAAAATAGAATAAAAGCTTGGAAATTATTTGACAAAGCGGTTCCAAGAACGAGAGGAGCTTTCAGCTTGCGGTTGTTTCGATAAAACCAGGCGCGCCCAGCTTAATTATCAAGCAATTATATGGGGTTGGACGATGCTCGTCCTCCCGTAGAAGGCGCGTCCACCTGTTTCCATAGCCTGATTCGCCATTATCGTCCGACAGTGATAACGAAATTACAGTATAATATCATAGGGGGAACGTGAAAGAACAACATTAACTTAGAATTATCTTTTAACCATCGAAAAAAGATCAGTTCCTCCGTGAAAAAAAAGAAATATCTCTTTCGACTTGAAAGAGAAGATTCTTCAATGTTAGATTTCCTATCTATCAGTATGACACACAGGTACTGTTCATTTGCATTCATCTCGAACTATGGATCCTCTCTCTCTCTCTCTCGACGTCTCGAGGCGCATCAATAGACGGACGCATGCATAAAATTTTATCGTTTGACCTAGATGAGTGGCGGAAGAATTTAGTGGTATCGTAAAAACCATTGTTAAGACGTTCTTTTATCCACCGAAACAACGAAATATCCAACTGTCTGTAAACTTTAGTCACCGAAATGCGACACTATGTGACGATTACACATCTCTCATTGATCGTATCAAGAATCGCTTCTGTAATTAAGGAATAATTGTCCTATTATCTAACTATCCGATATTTATCTCCGGGAACAATGGAACGAGAAGACAATAGTTAATAGTACACCCAAGTGTTTTTCTTCCTTTTAATCGTGAACTATAACTACCGAGCAATTCGAATAATTTCCTGTTTGCCAGGGGGGAAAAAATTCGAGTTACTCCTCGGTGCGTTACCTTGCTTCGTGCATCGTTGCTCACGGAAAAACGACCATTATTGTGTTATTTGTGCAAACGTGTACATCTTATCGAGGTTCATCTCTTGGTCGTTTGCAGAAAAGAACAACGCCTTCTCTCTTTTTGATAAATTGAAAACAGATTGTCGGGAATATGTGCAATCGCCGATACACTTCTATGTACGTTTAGAATGACGTATTGGACAAATATTAATATTAGAAGGAGATAAAGCTGGTGTAAAACTGTCCATGTTTTTGAAAACACTAGATAACCGATAAACGATAGGTGTACCGCGTGAAACGGATAAATAAATGTATCAACGATCGAGACAATATTTCATTTCCAGATATTAAGTCCATTCAAACGCTTCAATTTCTCGCTGTTTAAAAAACAACCGTAAAATCGATAAATTCAATCTCGATCAATTTTCCATTCGCTCTATTAATCGCGAATCACCGTCGCAAATATTACTTCGAATAAATACACGGTGAGCTAAAGCAAACGACGATCTGTCGCTTTGCATTAAGCGCGTTTGTACGTGGCTTAAGTAACCCAGCACGTGAAGCCGCATTTTAATCAACCGCGTGTCATCTTGCCGCTGCTAAACCGGTCTGAGAAATATTACGCGAATTAAATGACAGTCTGGACAACTTGCTCTGTACTATGGCACAACCAGTAACAAAATACCCCCCTTGTATTTCATATTCTCCGATGTTAACAATAACCGCGGCAACCTTCTATTCCAGACGTTCATCTTATCGATTGACAGTTTGTCGAATAAACAGATAACACGGTTCCTAACTTCAGCAAATTATATCGAGCACTCAGTTTCCACCATTCTCTCAACTCCAACGTATGTCTGCTTCGCGGGATTTACATTCGCAACAGCTTTGTGTTCGATTTAATTAAAAGGGAGAACTTTGTTCGCAGTTTACGTATGAATCATACGTCTATGACAGAGACACCGCGAAACGGCTGAGATAATGTTAACCTTCGACGTTCTATAGAGCTTAATCGAGAATGGGAGAAACGTCACCGGACAGGTCGAGAATCGTTTCTGAATGAAACCGCTTCGCGCTATTTACAGGCTGATTGATTTTCTGCGGCGCAACAGTCGCGCTGGCTAACGTTTCCCTTTTTAATACAACCCGTCGTTCGTTAACTTTCAACCGTGATAAAAGAAACGAAGGAAGAAGTGCTACGTGTTTTCATTAAATAGTGCTTAATTAACGTGTAACGCGATACGTGGTGCTTTTTACGAAACGGTGCGGCACCGAAAGGAAAAAAGAAGGAAAAACACGTAATGAAGTAGCGTATACATGTAGATACCGTCGAGGGTGTTCTTTGAATAATTACTTTTGTCCCTGAAAAAAAAGAAGAAAATGCCTGCGCTTTGATTCCCTAGTAGCTACACGTCCTATTAAATTCCTCCGACACTCATTTACAAAGAAATGCGTACACATTGCGTGTGGGGTTGCGTAGGTGCGTGCAACACGCGAGAAAAAAAGAAGTTGATTAAGGAAGTGCACGTCGTGCTCGTTACGGTTACGTAGTGAATAGAACTCGCGTTGGATTTCGTGATAGCTTGATAAACGACGATCCCCCTTTAAAGTGGGTTTAAACGGCTTATCTAAATTCGCGTTATTTTTCAGTTCTACTTCGTCGTAGGAAACGAGCGAAAATTTGTTTTTCCTTCTTGTTTTCGCGAGAGTCTATTCTTCGTGAAAATTTGTTTCCTTTTTTTTTGTGGTTTTTTCGAGAGTCTGTTCTTCGCGACAGTTACGTTCTCTGGAGAGTCTCGCTTTCTGGAAAATTGTACTCTGTGGAAATGTTGATTTCTGGGAAATTTTAATCTTTGGAAAAAGTATGGTTTGTGGAAATATTGGTTTGTGGACAATTCTATGCTTTGCGAATTTATATTTTATGCAAATATTCATTTCTGGGAAATTCTAATCTTTGGAAAAAATACAATTTATGGAATTATTAATTTCTAGAGAATTCCAATCTCAGGAAGAAATATAGTTTACGCAAATACTGATTTCTGCAAAATTATATACTTTGTAAATTTATATTCCCTGCGACATTTCCTCCAGCGAAATTGACAGAAACACAAGGTAAACGATTATTGCAAGCGCAATTTATTCAAAAATCGCGAGTCCCGCGTGATCTGACGTTCAATTAGAATAATTCAGTTTTTCGAAGAATATTACAATTATCGTTTCTTTGAGTCACCATACAGACAAACGCCAGCTGCTATCTGACCGCGTGAATCGCGCGTTGTAAACACCTAAAGCTTGCCCAGTTCACGACAGCAAGGTGCACTATCGGCTTGTACCGAGCAAGGCCACATGAAAATTTCCCAGAGAGACACCGCGAAACAATGAAAACCGGACCGACACGCGATGATTTATTGCAATCGTGGCTGGAACCGATCAGCCTGTAAATTAACAATCGATCAAACCAGCCGCTTTCACGCCGGTGCTCCACTATTTCACGGCTGCCACCGTGTTCCGCAATAAACAGATCGATGAACGAGTTTCGTGAACGCTTCGATCCTCCACACAGCGTCTCTCTGCCTCTGCAAAATCGTAAACCCACGAAATGTCAGCTACTTTACGAGCGAATCGTGCTTCAACAGCGCACACCGAAACCTAGCTACGATTTTTAAAGCAGTAGGTTTCCAAGCAACTCGGAACACATGGTTACCTTCGACAACCCTAATTCCTTATACAAAACATAATCGCACTAACTCATTCCTCTAGTAAAAAAAAAAATCAAATGAAATTCATATAGAATTTGTTCGAATGAATTCAACAAATTGAAAGTTTAATCAACAATACGAATATCGTTGAATACTTAAAAAGTGATCGTTCGATGGATCTACAGCGCATCTCTGATCTCCTCTCACTTTCCACTCCTCCGAGAAATACCAAACACTCCCATCATCAAGAAACCACGAATTTCCAAAGGAATTTCGGACAGGAAGGTGCGAAATTGTCGAACTGCTTCTACTTCTACGGTTACATCATCGAGAGCATCTAGCCAATCAATTCTTCGACAGATCAATGCGTCTGTCTCCTACCTGAGTGTACTTCCACGTACACGTAGAAACGTGATCTTAGTAAATCTTTCATCCTCCGCGTAAACTACATCCCCGTACTTTCTCGTTCTTTACGTAGTGTGAACGGGTTGAACGTACCACACAGCCACGATTCACTCCCAGAATAACGTGTCCACGTACACACAAGCGTCCGTGTAGTAGGACAGTCCAGCCTGCAGTCAGCTGACTGGAATCCGCACGGTCGGGAAGGTGTCGTGGAAGAAGAGGCTCACCTTGAATGAAGCGACCGTGCCGGTGTCTCAAAGCATCCCTTTGGAACGACACTCTCCCAGCTGTCTTCCCGTCGATCGACCCTCGAGAAGAGCAACATGCGCCTCCCGGCTTGTACACGCGCGAATCTTTCTCGCTCGACACAATCTGTCACGGACACATACACCGTCGAGATTATTCTTCGCTAATGATCTTTCTCGAACCCTAAGAAACTCGCACGATTTTCGTTTGGTTTCTCCTGCTTTTTCCGGAGTTTCGTTTGGGAACGGTGGGACTTAGAACGCCCACGAGGCGTTTAAAGTGGAGCGATCGTGACACATCAGCTCGTAACGCGACCAACGACACGCTTGTTGCGGCGTTCGGCGATGAACGCCGGCTCGTCACTCACTGAACCACCTTTCTACGCCCGTTTCTGGCGTCAGCGATCCGCGCCTGCGTGCCTCTTTTGCGTCATTCCCACACAGTAGCGTAGGTCGACACACTCAGACTTAATGATGAGCAATCATTAAGGAGCAATCGCTGACGCGTGAAAATATCGGGAGGTTTTTCAAAGTGGTTTTGGCCTTTTTTCGGTTAGGTTGAGTATCCAGGGGGAGTAATTAGATGGGTTTGGTGGGTGAATGATGGTTAGAGGTGGATATAGTGATTTGGAGCATGAATTTGTGAGAGTCGTGGATATCGTGACGGATGGATGTTGGATAGAGATTTAAGTAGAGTGGAGAACTTTGAGGACCGTTTGAGTGTTTTTTTCTTTTTATTAGTTTGACTGGGATGAAATTTATGGACCACCAATTTCTTCATTTTCTTTTTTTAATTTTCAGTGTCATTCGTTTCGTATTTTTTTTTACGTGAAACTTTGAAATATTTCATGAAAACGTAGGTTTTGTTGTAAATCATCTCGAAGTAATTTGTTTAAGTAGGTTTCAATTGAATGTCATTTACATTAAGCATGAATTTCTGCTAAAAATCATCTACTGTTAGCAGGAACGCAGAATGTAAATGGAGGTATTAGATAAGGAAGTTCGCTGACTTAAGTTTCTAGGTTAGTTTTATTACTAACGGGAATGTACAAGATTAAAATTACACTTGCAATGTGGAATATAGTTATATTAAATACTTCAGTTTACGATGTATACGAAAAAGTCCTTAAATTAATCCTGTAAATGCGTTTCTTTTTATTTGAAAGTTTGGCCAGATTTGTGGCGTAGAATTGCTGCCGCCATCTTGCGGCGTCGCTGGTATTAACCGCCAAGAAACTAAGAGAACAAATTAAATTTCCTGAATTTTTAGACAGTATTATGCAATATTTAGAAACCCAAATTAAAATCAATTTTATCTAATCTGTGGATTATCAGTTACAAATAATTCGTCAAATTTGCTCGATCTACGGATTTATGGTTAGGTAGCCATCTAGCGGCGAACGGAACGCGTTAATCGGCGGTTAAATTGAACGGTTACGATTTTAATCGCGTTTCAATCAGATATTGTACCGTAATTTTATTCGAGAGAAACATTTCTCGTTTCATTTCTCCTTTGTAACGTTATCAACTTACGAGTTTCGCAATAAAAATTCGTCAAATTTTCATACTTCGTACGATTCCACGTCTAACTTCTTCATTACGTAGTGGAAAAAGGAGAGGATCGCGATACTGAAACCTAACGGCACCGATGACGCCTTTATCCACGCCCAGATGCTGCAAATCAACAATTGAAAAATTATTGAAAATTACGGAATGAAGAGACAAATACTTTTCTGCACTAGGAACGATATTTCTAATTTGAATGGAAAATGAATACGGTGAGAATAAAAAAAGAAGAAGAACGTACATACCATTATGTCTCCATGCTATTCCTTCTCTATTTTACATTCCTTTATACGTAAGAATATTCAAGCATTATGATACCATTCGTCTACAGTATTCTAAAAAGGGATATCTATAGCAAACAATTAACACTACTCTCTAGAACAATTTCCAATTAACCTTGTGACTCCGCTAAACTACACCTAGCCGTACAATTCCAACAGAAAATCAACCAGAAACTCGTACTTTGCACAAAGTTTCAATGCTGAGCAATTTTTAATATTAATCAATTTACTTGTAAATATTGTCGTCTATCTTAAAGGGTGACGGAGTAGGTATAGTGCCACATTCAAAAACGACCACAGGTTTAATGGGAATATCGTCAGCGTCCGTTTTCGTCTGTTCGATCTTGAAGACCACATCTTGACCGTCGACGACCTATTGAAATAAAAATATTAATCATGCCTTGTACGTTGAAAAAATATTCTTCGTTACCTTTCCGAATACAGTGTGTTTTCCATCTAACCAGGGTGTGGGAATTGTCGTGATGAAGAATTGACAGCCGTTCGTGTCTTTTCCAGCATTAGCCATACTTACGTACATTGGTGTGCTGTGACCAATGTCGAAATTCTCGTCTTCGAAATATTTTCCATAGATGCTGATCGAACCAGTGCCATCGTCGTTCTCTATATCTCCACCTATGATGAAATAGTATTATTTCGAGATCGAAATGAGCATCTACTCTGAATTATTCAATCTGATTTATTCCGAATTATTCAAAACGATTTATTCTGAAAATAAATATTTATTCTGAATAATTCCAAGTAATTCTGAATGAAACAATCGGACAAATTTCCGGAATATTAACATTATTATTACCTTGAATCATGAATTTTTTAATCACTCGATGAAATCTCGTCCCCTTGTACGTTTTCCTCGCAATTCCGGTGGTCGCCAAAGTGACGAAATTTCTCACAGTTTTCGGCACGCTGTCACCGAACAATCCTATCACTATTCTACCCACCGGATGATCGTCAATCATAACGTCGAGGTATACTTGCTCGGTGACAGTGAGATTGTCATTCTGCGGAAAAATTTAGAAAGTCCCTTCACCGAATGGAAAAATCAGATTGTGGTCATTTTAAATGTTAATTATAGGAAGAGTTCTCTAATGCTCAGTTGGCTAATTAGCAGCACAGATAGTTATCGCGAATCGCTTGAAAAATGGAAAGCTCGATTTCTAATCTATTAGCAATCGGTTTCTTTTATTCATCAATTTACGCACATTTTGTATGAAATTATTTTCAATTTAAACCGACCGATCTGCGAATAAATCCAACAAAATTGTACACATTTGTAAGCGTGGTAAAATTGAAGTAACGGCAGGAAAAGTGACGATAAATAACGTGTTCGTGAATAATTCTACTCAATTTTCACGGCTTTCACGCGTATAAAGCTGCATTTCGTTAAGGACACCGTTCTCTCACATGCTCGCAGAAAGTGGCCGAGAATCGAGCATACTCTAGAAGTGTATGTATACGTGCCAGGGAAGCCTTAGAAACATCGTACAAGTATAAAACGATCTATAATTCGTTCCTCTTTTCCTCTGTCTTTCGTAATCTACAGTTGAAGTACGTTCTCTGAATTTCATCAGACAATTAACCATCTAATTTCTTCCTCCACGTGAAATAAGACAATTAAGAACATTTCGTAATCACTAAACACTTCTTCTATTCACCCATTCGTTTCATTTTTTTTTTTTTTTGCGTTATCAGAAATGTCACCGAATTTTTGCATTTTATCACTGAAACTGTACTTCTCTCCCTTCGAAATTCCAACAATTCAGCTGTTCACTCGTTCGATTATTTTCCACCGACGATTTCTTTAAACGTCGCCTCGGCTAACGGTATGCAGAAAAACGCAGCTGCATCCGCGGCAATAATTCCGACATTAAGCAGAAAACGGTACCTCTAAAGCTGCGACCACCGCGATCAGGCAAGCTATCGCTGTCAACAGGATCTTCATGGCTTTACGATTCCGCCCGGTGTGCACCGTGTTCTCCGACATTTCCAGCCTCATCGCACGACCCGTAACGTAGCTTTAAATGCGATCAGAAGCACCGCGCGGAAATCGAATGAACTTGAAGACGCTTGCGCGGACTCCACGCTGAATGCAACCGTTGTCCTATTAAATTAACGCTGTTTCAACCGATGGATCGTATTGTGAGAACTTGGAGAGATTACTAATATCAGTAAATTTAGCCTGATTGCTTTTATCTTTATCCTCGAGCTTTTCATTCGACAGAGTAGATTATTTTCGTATTCGTTTGAATTTGAGTTGGAAGAATCGCGAAATACTGAAATACTATGTGGGCCAGAAGTTTTTTGGCTCAGACAAAAGCTAAGATTTTCCAGAGAAAAGTTAAAAATTTCGACGAAATTTTAATAAATCTCTTATCACCCAAATTATATGATAAATAATTTTTGAAAAATTGCTAGCAGATCCAAATGACCCTTTTCAAACGATAGTGTGAAAATGATAGTCTCTGGCACCGACAGAGTACTCGTAGCAGATACAGATGCTCAATTCACCTCGATTTGCCCTGAAACGAGGATACCTCTTAATGACCCACAATTCTAACAGAAACAAATTCGAAAGATGGCCGACCAGGCTGCAGAGCGAGTCCTTTCCGAGGTCAAAGATCCTCGAAGACCAGCGGTCCGAACGACCCACGGATCGAGGAGGTTCGAGGAGAGCTCGTTAAGTCCCGTTACTCCCGATCGTCGACCGCCTCGAATATTATAAAAGCTGGGACCATCGGCGATCCAAGGATAGTTGTTCGCGATGGAGAAGAGCAGCAGATCGCACGGTGCTCGTTTCACCGCGTTTGCCTTCCTTTTCCTCGCCGTTCTCTTCGCGGAGGCGTCGATGATCGATCGTCAGAGGCGAGAATTCGTGATACCGGACTGGATCGAGATCGTCGACGAGCCTGTCGCCGAGAACTCCAAGACCATTCAAAGGGCGGTCAGAGTGAGGGACACGAAGGTCACTTACGATGGCGCGCAAATATGGAGGGTCCAGGGCAGCGAGAACCAGAAGGATTTGGTGTCGAACGTGAGCATGGACTTTCAGGAGACTGGACGTTCGTACATGTTCTGATCGTTAAACCAACGCAGTTTGTAGAATCGTTACTTTGATATTCTCGATAGCATAGAAAAGCTAGGGATTAAATTTTTCAAAGAATCTTTGGACGTTCCTTCAGGCTGTCGAAGTTCATAGCAAGCAATGGGAATTTCACGATAGCTTATCTCGCAAATTATTGAATCGACAGTGGAAGCAATGTTGAATTAAAATTTAGGACTTTTACTGATTTTTACGATCAGACGATGTTTATTTAGAAAGATTCACCTTACTTCCGAGAGAAAATCAAGTACCGACACGAATAATTAATGCAACAGCTTAAAAAAAATTTTAGAAATTTCAGGAATTAATCGGTGCACAATTAACATTTATTTTCTCTCCGTATAGTGTTCTCATTGTGGGTCGGTAACGACACGATGGTGGACGTAATAGTCCGTTCAGAAGAGATTCCTCGAGCTTCTCGTTACTTGCATCAAAAGGACCTGCAGTACAAAGTGGTGATCGAGGATCTTCAAAGAGCGATAGACGAGGAGAATCCAACGCTCTCCGAGCAAGAGATGGAGGAGCTAGAAGGACGCAAAGGTTTGCAACTGATCAATCGTCATACCTACAATCATCTTCACATAAACTCGACAACTTCGCTTCCTGTTTCATGCTTTCGTTTGCTTGACATTCTCCTTTTCTTTTCTTATTTTTTCCCCATATCGCAGAATCATTTCGCGGTTTCCAACGATTTCGATCCCTCTCTTAACGATCCACGAGAGATTTCGCTCTCCAGAGGCGAACGAACGAAACGCAAACGCGTGTCCAACAGTGAAACGATATTTCACTTGTCATTTTAGCCGTGCCACTGACACAAATGGCGACTCGACGACGACGAGCGCCTCGACGAGACGTTATCGCACAGTCGAGTCATGTAGCGAAGAAAGCCACCAACGAATTATACGTACTCATCAGGCGCCGTCGTCGATTCGAAAGTGATTCTGATAAACCGCCACGGCTTATCGTTCGACGATTTCGAGCTAATTACTCGCGTGAAACGCTTCGACGACGCTCCGTAACCGTTAACCGAATAACTCGGCTGTCATACTCGTTATTAACGACCGTGCATCGATTTTTCTTCTTCTCTTTTTTCATCTGAAATCGTTAGGCCTGCTCGACGGCTATTTTCAACGGAACAGCGAAGAGGTGACCGGCCTCGTCGCGATTTAACCCGTTAACCCAGTTCCGGTTCATCGACAATACTGATTAACATTAACAGTTATATGTGCTCGAGGAGAGCGCGGCGTGCGTTCATTTGCAACGCACGTGTTTTCACGAGGAAACGTTGTTGTTTCAATCGTGGTCCCGTTACCCGATTCCAGCTATTCGTCCAGTTGGCAATCGGCCCGGTTTGAAAGCTGCTCGAGAAACCGAGACCGGTCGGGTTGTGATTCCGGTGGAATAGCGAATAAAATTGATCGACGTGATTTTCGAGAAATTACGATGCTACCGTTGTTACGAAGAAGCATAAACTTTCTTTGGTATACAGTAAATATCAGCTTTCGTTTATTTTCGTCAAGGAATTTAATCAAACTTCTTCAAGTATCTCTGTAGCAAATTTATAATTATGATTTCAGTTAGTAGGTTGTTGAACATATGTCTGTAATACTTTACCTATAATTATGTTAATGGAAAAATGGTTCGGTGAATATTCGTTGAATCGAAGTACTCTTAACCCTTTCGGTACAGTAGATTCACAAATCTACCGCTTATATTTCCAAATACAAAATTGATTCGTACAATTCATATTTAATCTATCACGTTACAAACGTAATCATCGATCATCTCATTTCTGTCGACTAAAATCGTACCGAAAGGGTTAACGAGTAATGCAAAGACACTCGGGTGAAATTTTTCTATAATTTCTATGGTGATTTTCTGAGCTGTTGAGTAATTTTCTAGCTCGTTACGCTTGGTGGCACGGCGTAGCTGCCAGGGTGCCAGTTAGATACTCACGTCCTCGCCCTGTTCGCTATCCTGTAGCTAGTGTACTCGGTGGAGGTGGGCCTTGGCGCTTTAGGGGTGAGCTTTTCGCGCGTACAATCCGCTTCGTTGATTCAGAACCACCGTTTCGAATTATTTTTATTAAAAAGAAACACTTTAAAAACTCGCATAGATCTGTGGCGGGTACGTCGTCGTCAACAAACCCTTACCGAATCTCGTTCTATTCTTCTACGCTATCTTTCTCTTTTTCAACTCCTTCAGATTTTAGTTTCCGTTCTTTTGTCTCTCCCCGGGTTAAGAATTGCCTTCGTCCTCGAGTGGCCTAGGAAGCGCACATGTGGCATCCAGGTTCGCACGAGGACGAATGAATTTTCTGTTTCCACCACGTTCTCCACTTCTATCTTTATCTATCGCTACTCCTGTCTCCCTGTCCTAACAATATAAAAACCCAGTACGCCTACACCTCCGGACAGTTTGTTCAACAGCACAAACGACAATCAACAGCGTAAACGATTGTATATTCTGGACAAATTGTACGCCTACGCGACCATACACTTGTACTTTAATCATTGAGGTGAAAACAGTGTAACGACGTTCCTCGCCCACCTCAGATCAATCGGAAGATATTTGTCAAATATGGATTAATTAATTGTTACTCGTCTCTGAATCTACGGAGCGGAATGTTCTCACGTGTCGTTTAAGGACACCGAACGTCCAACCTGTGAATAATCTTGAAGGTATACCTGTCAGGTCATCGAATGGAGTGGAGCAGTTATCATAGACTCGACGACATTCACGGATATCTCGATTATCTCGCGGAGACTTTCCCTAACGTGTGCTCTGTTGTCAGTATCGGAAATTCTGTCGAAGGAAGAGCTCTCAAGGTATCGCCGAAAACACCATTTTTTTTTTTTTTTAATAACAATCCTAATTCATTGAAGAATTGTGTTTTGCTTACTCTGAATTCTTTGCATTGAAACAAACGTGTTAACGCGAAATTTAGATTTTTCGAAGTTAATTTGCAAATGGGTTGAGAACGAGTCTAAGTTAAATTTTCGAAAATTAATTAGTGGAGATTTCTTCGCTCTTCACGACTGTGAAAATTGGTTAAAAGAATATGACAAATGGTGACGCAGGTTCTGAGAATTAGCAATGGGAAGCCTAACGCGCCTGCATTATGGATCGACGGTGGTATCCACGCTCGAGAATGGATCTCACCAGCTGCAGTCACTTGGATTATCAACGAACTGGTTGAAAATAGCGAGAGCCTCGAGGCTGATTACTATATCCTTCCTGTGGCGAACCCTGATGGGTAAGTTTCTTACGATAGGATAATATTGTTCTCGAGGAAGTAGCATTTTTTTTTTTATGGTTTTTAAATTATAGGTACGAGTACACGTTCACTAGGGATCGTTTGTGGAGGAAGAATAGGAAAAGATCGGTAGGCAGCTTGTGTACGGGAGTTGATCTTAACAGAAACTTTGGTTATCGATGGGGAGGTATGGGAACAAGCAAAGATCCTTGTCGCGAGATTTACGCGGGCTCTGGACCATTCTCTGAACCGGAAACGAAAGCTATTAGGAACTTTTTCGAAGCTAGTGCTGCTAATTTTAAGGTCAGTTTTGACTTTCATTCTCTGTTTTAGAAAAATCGTTCGATTTAAAGCTGTGAAAATTTGAGTTTCCAAGTTTGAAAATTTGAGTTTCCAAGTTTGAAAATTTGAGTTTCCAAGTTTGAAAATTTGAGTTTCCAAGTTTGAAAATTTGAGTTTCCAAGTTTGAAAATTTGAGAGTTTCCAAGTTTTTAAATTTGAAAGCTTCCAAGTTCTTAAATTCGAGAGTTTCAAAGTTTGACAATTTGAAAGTTTCGAAGTTTGAAAATTTGAGAGATTCAAAGTTTGAAAGTTTGAGAGTTTCAAAGTTTCAAATTTTGAAAATTTGAAAATAAAATCCAGAAGAATCTTTTCCTTCTTCTTCTCGCCCATACTCAATTATTTAACACAGTACTTTCGTTCCCCAGGCATACTTAACGTTCCACAGTTACGGTCAGTACATTTTGTACCCATGGGGTTACGATAAACGTGTTCCACCAGATTATGCTGACCTCGACAGGGTTGGTAGGCAGGTAGCAACTGCCATGAGAAAAGCAAATGGTGCTAACAGTGCTTACACTGTTGGAAACAGTGCTACAACACTATACGCAGCTTCTGGTGGCTCTGACGACTGGGCTAAAGCAATTCTCAAGATGAAATACACGTACACGATTGAATTAAGAGACACTGGAAAGCATGGTTTCGTTTTACCTGCTCGTTATATCATTCCAACGGCGAAGGAAGCGTTGGCTGCTGTTATGGTCGTCACGGAAGCTTGCAAGTCGTTGTAATTATTAAATTATAGAGTGATTGTATAAATACGAATTGCTATCGGTCATTGTATGTATGGTGTATCTGTGTACTGTAATTATTAGCAAGGATAAGACGAGTGACAACGAAAATTATTTATTGAATAAAACAACAAACGTTAACAATTTATTAGTTGGTAAAAATTGTTTAAGAATAGTTTAACATGATCACGGTGATCCATGTGACGAAGGCGGATACTCTCGTGTAGACGGATGGCGCGCTTTTTCCGCCACAGGGAAATAAACCCCACGAAACGATTCCCACCACGTCTGCCTCGCCGAACGCGTTCCTAGCGACTAAAGGTCCCCCTGAGTCGCCCTAAGAATTGAACAATTTACGGATTGCAGATGAAAGTTTGCAAATTTAAAAACTTGGGGCTTCGAAAGTTTGCAAATTTAAAAATTCGAGGCTTTGAAAGTTTGCAAATTAAAAAATTTCAGGCTTCGAAAGTTTGCAAGTTTAAAAATTTGGGGCTTCGATAGTTTGCAAATTTAAAAACTTGGGGCTTTGAAAGTTTGCAAATTTAAAAACTTGGGGCTTCGAAAGTTTGCAAATTTAAAAATTCGAGGCTTTGAAAGTTTGCAAATTAAAAAATTTCAGGCTTCGAAAGTTTGCAAGTTTAAAAATTTGGGGCTTCGATAGTTTGCAAATTTAAAAACTTGAAAATTTGGAAAATTGAAAATATGAAAATGGAAAAATTAAAAAATTGAAAATCTGAAAGTTAGAAAATATGCAAATTTAAAAATGTGAATATCTTCAATTAAAAAGTACCTTGCAAGCAGACAAGCTTCCATCTAAAGGACCGGTGCACACATTCGTCGTATGCAGAGGATTCTTTTCCTTCGGCTTCAAAACTTTATCCAAAGTTTCCTTACAGAAATCGTAATCAAGAATCGGTAGCACAGCTGCCTGCAGATTCTCCGGTGTCTCTGGTGACCGAGTTCTTCCTATACTCCCCCATCCTGTGAGCACAGCTTCTCCCATAGGGACTGAATCAGGATACGGCAACGAAACCGTGGAAACGAAAGGATTCAATTGGAAAGGTCGTTCGACTTTCATCAACGCAATATCGTACGGTGCTATACTCCTACAAAATTACCTCAACTATTACCACAACAATAAATAAAACTTCATAATGACAAATAACAACACTTACCCGTCGTATCGCGGATGGACAAATACCTTATCTACCAATCTACTCTGCTCAGTTTCTTCGGGAACGCCCAATTTATACTTCCCAGCCAGGATTAAAAATTCTCCAAACGGCGGTGTCAGGGTTTTGCAGTGTCCAGCTGTCAATATCCATCCAGCTGTCAATAAACTTCCGCCACAGATGTGTCTCGTCGCAACTTTTCGTCCTCGATCTCCCCAATGAACGGACACTTGCCAAGGATGTAACCCTTTTTCCGCGTCTTTTCCACCGACGATCCTCGTTGGTCTCTGAGCCAGCATCGCCACTCTCGAAACTATTTCTATCGACGAAGAAACAGTGCAACAAAATTAGATCACATACGTCGTACAGAAGTAGAACGAAAGAAGAATGTTTTCTCACCGTTCATTTCAGCACACATCGCGAGACCAACGATAAGAGCCATTAATAACTCCTTAAACCAACAACGAACGTATGTCATTTTTTTCACCTGGCTGTTCGAACTGTTCGAAGAATCGCGATCGAATGTTGATTCACCGGAAGGCTAGATCGTTCACGGGAAAAGCATCGCGAAGTGGAACTGGATTTTTCTTCCTACCAACTGTCTCCAGAACTAGTTCTTCACTCTTCACCGGTGTCCATCGATAGAATTCGAGTTCTACTTCCGCTTATGGACAATTCCGACTCGCGCAATACCAAAAGGATAAAACAGGTGTAACGTTTAACTCGATAATTTTATTGTATTACAAATTCAGCCTTATATGTCGTAACATCTATTTCTTCGCATTATCTATTTCAATGCTTCGACTGGATGTTCTGTATCCAGGTGACGAAAGAAGATATTTTAGTGTACACAGACGGTGCACCCACCGTTCCGCAAGGAACAATACCCCAGGAAACAACACCGACGAGCTCTGCAGGCTTGGCGCCGTCCTGAAGGATCAACGGACCACCGGAATCACCCTGAAACCGACAAATTAACGTTGTCAAAAATTACGTTAAAATTCAAGGGAAGTATCCTCAAGTTGCCAATTCGATTGCTCACGTTACAAGCGGAGAAACCACCGGTGAGAGGTCCGGTGCAGACGTTGGTCGTGTGCAGAGGAGATGGACCGGTGAGTTTCTCTATGGCCGCTTTGCAGGTAGCGAAATTGATGATAGGTAGCTGGGCAGTCTGAAGTTTGTCGGGCATATACGGATTGTTGGTTCTAGATGTGGATCCCCAGCCGGTTAAGATGGCGTTTCCGACTGGCTCGACACCTTGCTTAGGCAGATTGATGGGTTTGACCGTGGTGGTCAGGGTTAGTGGCTTTGAAAGCTTGAGCAACGCGACATCGTACGGAGCCACTTCCCTGAAATTAAGCAAACGGCACATTCGTTCAGACCAAACGACGGAGGATGTGAAAGAAAAGTGTTCAAACTGTGTATGGTGTGAGCTTTCTCTTATAATACCCGTTCTATCGTTGATCCAGACGAATTCACCACTTACCCGTTGTACTGCTCGTGCACGAACGATTTCTCGACCTCTACGACCTGCTCGGTGTTCTCATTCACCTTCAGATTGTGCTTGCCAGCTTTCACCACAAATTCACCGTAGGTTGGAACAGCCAGGACGCAGTGTCCAGCGGTGAGGATCCATCGACTGTTGATTATGACACCTCCGCAGAAGTGTGAGTAGCCGAAAAGCCATCCCCATTGCAGGGAAACTTGCCATGGATACTCTCCAGGCTTGGCCTCGCTTCCTCCGACGATGCGAGTGTCGAACAATGGTAGCATGAAGCCACGGTAGGGCTTTGCTGTTCACAAACACGTTCGTTAGTTTTCCGTCGATGATCAGAGTTTATGGTGAAAATTGACTTACTGGCTACAGCCGCTGCGAACAGGGTGGCTAACAGGAGCAGTTTCAGTGACATTTCGATGATTTTGTTGTATTATTGTCGCAGCCACTGCTTATATACGCGCGTGTTAATCAGATATCAATCTCTTATCGAAAAAATACATTTAAACCGAATGAAAACTGTCGGTGACACACCTGTATCATTGATTAATCAATGTCTTATCAACTTTACGCACGGTAGAATGCCTTTTTCGCAAGAAATTATAGAACCTGGAAATTCGCAGTGATAAAACGAATTTCAAGCTTCTGGCGGGCTTTGAGGGTGCAGAAGTGGGAGATGTAGGGGAAATCGTGACATTCAGCTGTTGGTGAGCCAATGGCGATGGAATGCAGCTGTCACGCTTGCTCTTAATTCTTCGCTGATACCTCGGCTAATCACGATGCAATAAGAATATCGCAGTTACTCTTGTATGAACGATGAGCGAGGATCGAGACTCGCGTGAGCAGACGGTAAATACAAACCGTTCTGTAAAATACATTTTGTACGGTTATCCTCCAATAAATAATTGATTTTTTCATAAATAATTGCATTTCATTTTTCCTGATAACCAAGTCCTTTCCTTCATTCCTGTGGTGGCCTGAAAACTCCATTTCTAATTTACACAAAAAGAACGTTAATTTTCAAATGTTAAACAAGCGTTTTAAATAATTTCTGAGTGATCTATTGCGCGCAATTGTTAATTCAACGAGAAATTAGTAACTTCAACTGTTTCAACGAGTTAATTTATTTAATACTTTCAATAATTCTGAACTACCATCTAAATTATTATTCAATGAAACGCACTATTTTTCAAAATTGATCACTTTCTATTATTGATTTTTTACACGATCGGTATTTCAGAACGTGCGACATAAGTCCTGTAAGGTGAGAGATCTATCGTTTACTTGATCCGTGGTCTTTTGTTTTCCGTTGTTTTATCAACGTACTACATTATCAACAGCTGATTGAAGACCATTTGGCTGAACCACTTACCTACACCGGGACTTCCCCTCAAACGCAGACAGGTAAGATCGAAGAGTAGTGGGGATTTCCTGGCCGCCTACTTTCCAGTTCTTTGGTCAGGCGATGACATTAGAAGTCTCAAGTTTGCTTTGGCAATCGGTGTAAGTACTCGAATTGTGCTACTTTTGATGCTAGACGCAAGATAACGATAAAGATTTTCTATACGAAATGCTAGTGCAATCGTTAATTAAGGTTATCAATATTGACAGAGTATGTAGATTGATATAATCCAAACACTGCTTCTATTTCTTTTTGTTTGTTTTTTTTTTTTTTGGTAAAATGTTCTGTCAAAAGCTTGAGAGACTGTTGTCTTCATTTCTGATTTATTTATTCTACTTATTTAAATACAGGGATAGATAACTCTTGATCGCGATGGATCTTCTAAAATTGTGCAAGGAGTTGGCAAAGTTTGTTCGATGGAAGAAATATTGCTGAAGAAAGAAGGATCATATCGGTGGAAAGAATTGTCATCATTTCATATTGATTCGATTATTATTTCGAAATTAATACACCCAATTTGTCACGTTTTTGCGTTGTTGCGATTTCTACCGAGAATCGTTGCAATCACGCTTATCGATCATTCCGTCGAATCAGAACAGCTATTATTATCGTGCATTTTAAACAAAGGTTCGATAAAAATAATGACTTCCATGAAATTTCTTAATGCTTCCTTTGTTCCGACGAAGTGTTAAAATTTCCTTAATCCTTTTCCTTGTAACGTCGTATCTTTAATTGACAGGAGTATCGCGTTGACGAATCAATAAAAAGCAAGTAAATAAGAGAAATTCGTAAGGCAAGGGTTTAACTGGTTTATTTAGACTTCTTTCAAGGTATTGCGGAGTGTACTGTGAAAGGTTACTTTAGAGTATTTAGAAAGATATAGAAGATTAGGTTGCAACATGCATACAGAAAACAATAACGCAGGGATGCAGAATTTAGTGTATGTTCTGGTGGATCCAGTTAATGTAGGAGGAGACACGCGTGTAGACAGAGGGCATGTGGCTAGCACCGCAGGGCATCATTCCCCATGAGACGATACCAACTTGGACAGAGCTGCCACCGACCTTTTGGGCAAGTGGGCCACCAGAGTCACCCTGGAATCAAGCAAATAAATTCGCCCTTTATCTCAGTTCTAACTTCCTGTGAGACAAAAGTATCCTTGTTCGTCGATCCTTTAACACCCACTGTCCTCTTTAGACACTAGTTTGTGCTATCAAACGTTAAACACAAGGAAAAACTAATTTGAGCGTAAACACGTTGGTCACCTGTGACCGGAGATTGTCTCCTCGATGGGGTCACCGGTGACCTAGGTGTCTCAAATGTTTAGAATCATTCGAATAAGATGAATATCGTCGACTAAAATTTTCTACAAACATCACACCTAACTAGACATTATTTTGAGTTAAAAAAAGAAAAAATAAAGCATAATATAATACTACGCTTAGAACAATGAAAAGTCTTCTTCTGGCCCCCTGAGCAAAAATGTAAATCTCGCGTGGCGGTCAACGTGTTAATACTCGATAAATAATAGGACAAAGTCTGAAATGAACTTACAGAGCAAGCAGACACCTCTTTGCCAGCGGTTCCACTGCACACCTGAGTGTCGAAGAGTTCAGGTTTCTGGCCAACGACAGATTCAGAGGTGAGTTCCTTCAAGCATTCAGCGTTATTCAGAATAGGTACGACAGCCTTCTGGAGAACAGTTGGCAAATGTGGGACCGTGCTCTTCGAGGTGGATCCCCATCCGCTGAGAACAGCTTGACCAGTCTGTTTCTGTCCTTGAGTGGGTAACTTGATTGGTTGCACCGCGCTGTTCAACTTCAGGGGTTGTGCCAGGACCAAAATGGCGATGTCGTGTTGAGCGACACCACTGTGAACCCATAGAGAAAATTAGAGCACACGATAATTGGTGCTTGTTTTCTTTAGAAATAGCGTCGGTCGAGTGCAGCTTATCTGAATTCACTCGAGGAATAGGAAATGCCGAGAGCTGAGATTAAGGATTATCGACAAGAATGGGAGATAAAGATGTTCCCCATCGATCAAATCTTCCGTCTTTCGTACACGTGAACTTCTTTTCCCGATAAATTCTCGAAAATTTCAAACGACTCTCACGGTTATCGCGGCAAGTGTTCGTAATGTTGGAAAATTCGGATTGATAGAGAAACTCACCCTTTGTATCCACTGTGAACGATGCTCTTAGCGACGTTCACAACCTGTTGGGTTGATTCTTCCTTGTTCAATTCGTATTTGCCAGCTACTACTCTAGACTTTCCGACTTTCATGACACAGTGACCAGCGGTCAAGATGTGTTTCGCGTCAAGGATCGAACCACCGCAGGAGTGACTGTATTTGGTTAGTGGCGGGATTCCCCATTCGATGGAGACTTGGTACGGGAACTCGCCGCGGTTTGCGTTCACACCGTCGGTGATACGGGGCTCGAAGCCATGGGGAACCGCCCAGCAGACTGTTAAACAATATTTATTAATTATTTTAATATTTATCAGTTATTTTAAACAATACCTGTTAATTCAGTAATATCGAATATATTGCAAATGTTAAATATGGAATTCTGAGGGGAATATTTTTACGAAATATTTGAACAATGTTAAGAAACGTTAATTTTCTCTTACCTTGAGCCACGAGGAGAAGCGCTACGATAGATTTGCTGAACATTGTTGTACAATCACTTGAATCCAACTTGAGAAACGAGACGAGAGTTACGATTTATATATGTTCTCGGAAACCGATATCTGGCGATAATTCTAAATTGTAATCGATAACGTCACTTATCGTGGTTTATCGTGATCGCTACTTTTTCTAATAATACAATACTGCCGTCGTGTTGATTGCGCGGCCAGATTCTTCTTAGTTAGATACATTTCGATAACTCCCACTTATCGGTGTCTTACTTCAAGTATAGATGTTCGAGTTTTAATTATTGTGCGAATCTCGTGTCTCGATAATGAAACGAGCTAAATAGTTCTGAGCTTTTATTCTAGACAGAAGACTTATCGATATCTATACGAAGTATTCAAGTCACAACGTCATTTTTCACTTCTCGTTTCGATTCATTTATTTAACCATTCGTTCCTTAAGCTCTACTTAAATAAATACATTCAATTATTGCACAATTAATCCTAGTATCTAAGAATCACGCTGATCTAGTTGAACTTCGATTACACCTTTCGTACATCGATTTTCGATACTTTACAATATTTACACGTCGTTCACGCAGATCGAACCTTAATTATTTTCAAGCTGAAACGCCGGTGAATAGCGGAGGAAATTTATCAAATTTCCATCTTTCTGAATATTGTACTAATCCCCTCTCGATGATGATTTCAAGACGAACCTGTTGAATTTTGCACTCACTCGAGAATCGTATAATGAAACGTAATAATTTGATATTAACCTCGCGTTCGATCAATTTCGAAGCATTATCGTGTCAGACAGATTCTTGTCTCGTCAATAATCAACCAAACTCCGTTGCCGTTGAAGACGAAAGCGTTCGCGATTGTTTGATTTCGTTCGGATCGAAAGCCAGAAACGTTTCATTTATCAATTTCACGTGTTACAAGTGACTAGACGAGCGATCGTTCGTATACCGGCCCAAATCTCGCGGGCAGTCGGCACGATCTGCCTCGCCGGAAGTAGGAATCCATAAGTGCCGCGGTCTCGAAGCTCCAGCGTGTACGCGTACTTTATTCCGGCCACACCCTTCGCCCAGTCGTCAGAGGCACCTAAAATTCATTAAATATCGCGAATTATTGCAACTGAAATTGAAAGTATCACGAATTATTGCAATTGAAATTGAAAGTATCGCGAGTTATTGTAACTGAAATTGAAAGTATCGCGAGTTATTGTAACTGAAATTGAAAGTATCGCGAATTATTGTAATTGAAATTGAAAGTATCGCGAATTATTGCAATTGAAATTGAAAGTATCACGAATTATTGCAATTGAAATTGAAAGTATCGCGAGTTATTGTAATTGAAATTGAAAGTATCGCCAATTATGGTAATTGAAATTGAAAGTATCGCGAGTTATTGTAACTGAAATTGAAAGTATCGCGAATTATTGTAATTGAAATTAAAAGTATCGCGAATTATTGCAATTGAAATTGAAAGTATCGCGAATTATTGCAATTGAAATTGAAAGTATCGCGAATTATTGCAATTGAAATTAAAAATATCGCAAATTATTGCAATTGAAATTGAAAGTATCGCGAATTATTGCAATTGAAATTAAAAATATCGCGAATTATTGCAATTGAAATTAAAAGTATCGCGAATTATTGCAATTGAAATTAAAAGTACCGCGAATTATTGCAATTGAAATTAAAGGTATCGCGAATTATTGCAATTGAAATTAAATGTATCGCGAATTATTGTAATTGAAAATTTCACACACTCGCGAAAAAATTCACGTTATCGCAGAACAGTGAAGTATATCTTAAAGAGAAACTTACAAGCGCTAAATTTCATTGCTGTATCATTTTGTTTAAGTTAATTTTACGGTTCGATATTTTATCACGAATTAATGCATACGAATGTAGATTTTATAATTAATGCATGGGTAATGAAAATACAATAGCGTATTTATTATTAAAAAATGTAGACTTTATCCTTGGAAGTAAAGGGTTAATTCCGGAAAAAAGTTTAACAATAAAATTTAAAGAATAAATGTTATTGTTCCTTGACTTTTGTTATAGTAGATATTTCATTGGATTAATTAATACGCAGTAAAAATGTAAATATTTCTTTCGAACCATCTTGTTCTATCGAATCTAATCTTAAAAATGATCATCGTTATACTATTTGATAATACTCTAGTTATCAGTTTAATTAACCATCACGAACCAGAGTGATCTCTGCTTACTTAATTGCTGCATGTTATCAAACATTGTAGATAACGATCGCATACTCTTTTTTTATAGCTGCGTTGTAACTCGGTTTCGTGTTATCAACCTACCTGAAGTTGGGTACATTAGATCAGACGATGGACCAACTTGATAATCGGTCCCGTGTACTTTCGCGATCGCTCCTATCGCTTTCTTAGCCACCTTCGCCAGCTCCCAGTAATCAGACGGCCTCGAGTACGTGTATCCCCATGGAACCAGCCACATTTGCGAGTAGGAATGTAACGTCAGGTACATTCTAAATATACCAAAGTACGTACATCCTTAAATTCGAACCTCATTTCTTAACAGAACCTTCTGAAGAATATTTTGTTAAAATAATTTTCAGATATTTAGGAAATTTTTCACTAAGAATACCCCTAATTTTTATTGCGAGAGGTAAAAACTTACTGTGAAATTTGAAAAATAAATAAATTGCGAGTAATACTTTGGGAAAAAATATTTAGGAAGAATTTCCTATTAAAAATTATTGAGACACCTGTGACATACTTTGCTAAAATTTCCTAATATTTCTAAGAAGATTTCTACTAAAAAAAATTATGGGAACTTTTTTTTGTCGGAGGAATTTTACAGAAATTCTTCGTTAAGGAATTTTTCATCGCGCCTTTTCACATCATCCTAAACGCATACCTAATATTCCGCTTATTAGCCAAGATATAATCGGCCATAGCTTTCGTTTCCGGTTCAGAGAACGCGTACGGACCAGCGTAAGTCTCGTGGCAAGGATCCAAACTCGCTCCTCCCTCTTGCACCTCTCCCCAATGGTAACCAAAGTTCCTGTTCGGGTCGACACCCTCGCATTTACCCCATAACCATCTCGCGTAATGGTTCACCAGCTGAAGGAAGCTGGAATGTGAATACCTATATAGAGGATTGGTACAGGATCGTCTTAATTGTACGTGAAACACCATCGTAGAGGAAAATGTTTCCGGGATAAAAGGATCTCGAGATGACCAGTACCGACTATCGTCCTGGTCCTCGCCATGATTACTCCTCGTTTTCCTCCACAATCTGTCGCCAATGTGAGTGAACTCGTAACCATCCGGATTCGCTACTGGTAAAATCATCCAATCCGCATTGTCCAACAATTTAGCGTAGCTCGTGTTCTTCTCGACTAACTGGCTAGCGATGTAGGTCGCCACAGCGGATCCGATCCATTCGCGCGCGTGCATGCCTGCCGAATGTAAGGACAATTCGAGGAAAAAAATTGTCTAACGGGACAGAATCGTGAGGAACGCGTCGGGCATGGAAATTCACCTAATGTCCCTTGACATAAGTGTATGTAGAATTGGATGCAATACGTGTGCGTGTAATTTTCGAAAATGGAATTTTCGTCGAAGGAAAAGAAAAATTATTGTTCGATTCAATTAGAGCGACGAAAATTAAAATTTGAACAATTCACACATGTATCGATATTTTTTTATATGGAATTTTTTGGCGTCACTTTTTCACTTCAAGGAGATTCAAATTTGAAGAATTCAACTTGTATAGATATTTTTCTACAATGTGGAATTTTTGAACGTCACTTTTTGACTTGGTTTCAACGCTCTAGTGAAATTTCTAATTCTCCCGTGGCACGGAACGTGAGTGAATTTGCCTTATTAATTATTTATAAAATCATCCGGTTGCAATTCTAATACAAAATTTTGTTGCAAGAAGGAAGATTTCTTTTTCATAAAAAGTGCGTAAAAAGTTTACCGAAAGTTTGAGAAAATTTTCTCGAATAAGACTTCGCGTTAATTATGTAGCACGTCGTTTCGATTCCACCTCATTTGCATATGGCAACATTTGCCGGTATTTTATTATCCTCTCCGGTATATTTCGCGGCTGTAGAAGCGGGACAATTAGAAAGGGCGTCGAGAAGTATCGGACGTGAGGATAACTGTTCCCCAACGGGGACATAAAATGGAGCGATTCGTTTTCTTTTTACGTCGATTTTTGCCACGCTGAAGAGCGCAGATATACGCTTCTGATGCAAGCGTTTATTGATTTTGCACGAGACGAAACTTCGATTATCTGTCCAAGGTACGTTCATTTATAATTGATCGAAATCTTGAAGCTTACTATCAGTAAAATTGACCGAGAAGTAAATCCAGAAAGTCACCCAATTTAGCTCAAATTTAACACGCCTCCCATAAATAACACACAGAGTGGTTAAAAGAAAATATGAAAAATTTCTGCAATATTTCGAAATAGTAATTCGATTGTCTCTAGAACAAAGAAGAAAATATTGGAAGCTTACTATAAGTAAAATTGACCGAAAAGTAAATCCAGAAAATCCCCCAATTTAGCTCAAAATTAACACCTCTCACAAATAACACACAGGGTGGTTAAAAAAAAATGTCAACACCTGAAAAATTTCTGCAATATTTCATAATTCTCTATCTCTAGAACAAAGAAGAAAATGATAGACGGAGGTGCTCTAATCGCAAGAAACACGCAAAGCAATCACCATTTATCGAATTAACAACTTCGTCCAAACCTGTTACCATCGCGTTAACCTTTTTTCTGAAACACCCGGTATATGCTTCCCGTGTTCAATCACAGATCACCGTAATATCCTGTTCTGCAGTTACCAATCATCTTTTTTCGCCTAGAACCCCCAGGATCTTTATTGCAACAAGAAACGTTATCCTCGAAAGGAGCGAGCTTCCTTTTCAAAAACGAACAAACGAGATCGCCTCGTCCACCGTATATACACGAGCTCGTACAGAAGACGTTTTCACCTTATTATGCAAAGTCTCACGTGTGCACGGACGTGAATTCACGGAACGCCAGCGAGAATAATAAAGATCAGGCTTTCATGTCGAAGAGCAGAACTCTAGAACACGACTTGTTCAACTTACGAGTAAAGAAAACGTCGAGCACGTACCACGCGTGACAGGTTCATATTAATTTCGTGCATTTCTCTTCGGTAACTGGGTAAACGTGTTATTTTTTTCTTGCTTTAAGGATGAACAGATGAAACGAGGACTTACCAGCGTCTATCCAAATCGCTGGCTTAGTTTCACCCTCTTTGTTGGGTCCAGTGGAGATTTTGATCATTTTGATCGGCTGACCCTCGAAACTGTGGCCTATCATTATCAATTCCACCATTTTTGGATACGTGAGAGCCAGGTATTCTAGGTACCTAACGATGTCTGCAAAATTCTCGTACGTTCGGTCAATTTTTGATATAAATTGAGGGAAAGAAGAACGACGAAGAGAAAAAGCGAAATTTGAAGTTTGAAGAGTAGATAGAGGTTTTTGCAAGCATAGAGACGATTTTCCTTTTAGCTGAAGGGCATTTACCTCCGTATCGATGGTATCTTTTCCAAGTCATGCTGTGACCACGGCTGGTGACAAGATCTTCGCGTTGATTCTTCGTCATTTTAGGGTTCTGATAAGCTATCGTTTTCTGGTAGAGCAAATTAAAATCTCAAATCAGTTCAAACAAATTTCAACCCGTTTACAAGTGCCTTTACGATTGCTTCGATACTTTCTTCTCTAATCGCAACATTTTTACTCATCGCTCGACGTTATCTCGTACCTGAAGATCCGATATCAGCACTGTGAAGTCGATTCCTTTATTTCGAAGGAAAGTTTTGACGTCAGAGACGAGATCTGGTCCTACAACTAGGTCTGTCGTTCTAAAATACCGCAATGTTATGTCAATGATCGTGTGACCGAGTGGAAAGTGTGTCGAAGAAGAAGACGTACTTATTGTACATCGGCTGGGTCCAGAATTTCACGTCTTCAGGCTCAGCCTCCTTCAGCTCCTTCAAATCGTTCACTTGTGCTTTCGTACTAGGGAACAGCCTGATCAATTGGTAATTCCTGTAGCTGACTCTGTTGGACGGTGACTTGAAGCTTTTCTCCGTGCCAATGATACTAGTCATGATGGAACCGATTCCGTTAGCCACCGCGGAGAACATCGATTCGACGACGTCCATGAAAGAGAACCCTCTGCCCTCGTCGTCGATCGACGGGTCATCCTCGGTTTCGATCGATACAACGTCGTCTTCACTTAGATACCTAGAACAACGTTCACTGATTTCTCCTGTTCTCATTCCGCAAACTGTCATAATTATCCTGGGAATTGCACTTGAAGAATCGACGAATATTCCTCCAGAAAAATCGAGAAAAACACTGAAAGAGGTTGCAGAAATTTCTAAGCACTGTTCACGAAAATTACACGATCAGACAAATTTTCCTCCGGGAATTTAGAATGACCTCAGAGATACAAAAATGGAGAGAAACGCTAAAAACAAGTTGAAGAATTTTCTAAGCACTGTTCACGAAAATTAGACGATCACTACAGACCTGAAATCGACGGAAAAGAGCAACCTAATCGAACACAAACCTCGCCTCCCGAATTCCTTCCTCAAAGGACGAACAATTGTACCGCTCTCCGTGTAGAATTTTCAAATCGCCGCGCTTCGGTCGAGCGGTCGTTCGATTCGACGCAATGATCACCGATAAACCGAGCAAAAGGAAGAGGATCGACCTGAAGTCAAGAGCCATGGTAGGCCTGAATCAGGCCAGGATATGCGATCGTCTCGAAGTCTCCCTGTTGACTGATCTCGCGGCTTCGAGCCGGAACCAGTCTTTCAGAACTCGTTGGTCGTACGCGAAAAACGACAGTTCCATTGGGCTTGCCCCACGGCCCAGCTTACGGGATTTCTGTATGGTATTCAGTACTCGGGTTCTTCGTCGGTTCTCTAGGCCTCGGTGATAACGGATCGAAGGTCCTGAGGTTAAGTAGAACATAATTCCACTTCGCCCCCTTACCTTCTTCCGTCAATCGTTTCTTTCCTTTCGCTTCGATTGAATATTTGAAGAAAAAAAAAAGAAAATTAGCGACAAATAAACTTTTCAAAGAAATTTCCAAATTTGTGACCCAACCCTTTATTTACAAGCCTGACACTCTCACAGCCTTCGCGAAGTTTAACTATTTCTTTCTCCATTTATTTTTGTTCTCTGTTTAATTTAATAATAATAATTTTAATTAATCAACGATGATTTTTCAAATATTAAAGCTACAGAAGGTCGTCGCGACATTCTTTCTCCAGTTTATGGGAACGAAATGAACTTGCGAACTCACACTCCGCAACGAGCCTAACGAGTACTTAAAAATCCAAGAGATAACTACTTTTTATCGTCTTCACAATTACCTCACAGTTAGCCTGCAACATCGGCTACGACAGGAATCCGGTAAGAGGGAAAAATTCCGACACTTTTCTTCGCGTCACGGCTCATTCCACTTTAATCTTGCTTAACGGTAATCGATTCGCTACATACCGTAGATGCTTGCTCGGCTAACTCTATCCGATTCGAGATGAATGGGACAACGGTCGATCGGGAAAAAGAAAATCGTGCAATTTTCTGGCAACTCTTCCTTTCTACACCGGAGAAATCATTCTGCTACGTTGCTGCGTGTCACGCAGGCAGAGCCGCGTTCGTAAGTCGAGCAAAGAAAATACTCGATGTCTACCTGTGTCTGTCGCTGTAACGAACCTACCCTACTTTTGCCCGGCGATATCGCATAGAGGTAAGATCGCTCCAGATCCAACTGTTTACAGAAGAAACTAACGAACTGCTGTGCGATACACGCGTTTTACCTGTAGAAAGGCGAAAAAACGAGAAAAAAAAAAGTAGACCAGGTGAAATTGGATTTTTAACGACCTTTATCTGTTCTTTTACATATAAATGTGTTCATTGGTAACGGATAATGAATTTATCTACTGTTACGCTGCGAATACGGTTTTATTATCGTTACAACTATAAGAACATACCGTTCCGGTATGCAACAATACAATTATTGCGTGAACGTACGTAATAATAGAGCGTAAATGAGTAATAATAATTAATAATTATTATTAATAATGACTGGTGTTAAATTAATGTTACTCTGTTAGTCAGCTTCACGTGTACGAGAAATTGAAACATAATAAAGTCGAGGCAACAACCGAGTTACGCGACCGGAAACGCGGTCGCGTGTCGACGAAGAATTAAAAAAAAAAAAACAGAGGAAGGATCGAGAAGATAGATCCGAGGACATAGTTTTTTAAAAAAAATTTCCTCGCACGACAATTGTTATACGTCGAATTCTCTGTTTCGCTTCGAGTGTGTAAGAATTTTGACTAGCACAGCGTGACCTACGACGAATATTCCTCCTCTTCGTTTCCCCGCTCTTCACAAATATCTGTATTAAACAGACTGGAAGAACGAAAAGTGGGAAGAGTAGAAATCTCACGAATCGACTCAGATCGATCTTCTCGGCGACAGTTAAAACACAAAAGGAAAAAACGAAAGAAAGTGAACGAAGAGGAAGGAAGGAAGTTAACGCGACGCCGAGGACACGACAAAGGAGCACACATTTATCGTCGATCCTCTCGTGGCACGGTATTGTCGTAATTACATGTAACGTTTCTCTCGTTAATAATTGACTGCTTATCGGTCGTCCACGTCGACTCGATCCTTCTTCGTTCGATTTCCAAGCTCGACGAGCTTCGTTGCACGAGAAGAAGGATCGCTCTTGCGAGGACCAATTAAATGGCAAGAACCTACGGGGGGATTTATCAAACAGAAAAACATGTGATGCTTCGTTTCGGTATTTAACCGCTACTCCTCCTCGAGTTTATTCTCTTCCGTCACACACGTTCACGCCTGGAGAATATAATCGATCTTCTCTTCTCTTCTCCACAACAACGCTCCGTTCGTTTATTTCTTTCTCTCTCTCTCTCTCTCTCGTTCGTCACGAGTCACAGCTTTCTTCAGCCTGACACTTCTTATCCTCTTACTTTCTGCCAACTTATTTACAGTTATATATAGAACGTTTTTCTTTGTTCACGTTTTCCTCTCAATTCGTAAACGTTCACCAGTTTCGTTTCGTTTTCTTCTCGCGAGAGACACACACAGGCACGGCTCCGCAACGACACGTAACATTTCTACGATAAACATTACTCGAGTGTCCCAAGTATAACGTGATTAATAACATTATTGGATATTCAACACTATTTCTTCGTTTCTTTACTTTTATTTATATTTGCCTTTCTCTTCTGTTCCTTTAAATCTTCCTTATCACGATAGCGTACGTAACAACGTTTTCCTAATTCCTGTTTTCCTCCGCTTTCGCAAATTGAAACACGTACTTCGCGAGTCAGCGCCTCGAATGCGCGACGATCTTCGAGATTCGCGCATAGAGCACGATCGGTACTCGTCAGCTAACGTGCCTAACACCAGGCTCTATCGGTACGTGCATCTCGTTCGCGTAATAGTTTCCAACTGGAAGCAAAGTACTAACGTTGCACTCTGTAACTTTCTCTTCGTTACGAATTTTTCTTCTCTTCTTTCTTTCGTGGATTAAAAAATTGAACTTTTGCTTTGTGGCAGCAGTATTGTATCTCGGTTAACGGACCTGAAGGAATGGCATATCGAACGGTACTCGTCCAATAGGAATAGACGATGTGTACAAATAATCGTCGAACCTTTTTTCTTCTTCATTTCATAGAATGTATTATAAAATTGTCTACGTTCCATCGATCATCGACAGAACCATCGCCACGTCGAGATGTAAATTTTTATTCACAAGAATTCCATCGTAGAACTGATCTAGGTTACACAATTGCTTCATCGTACTTTGCTCCGAGCATCGTTTATATTACTCTACTATTCGCTAAGGTAATTATGACCAACAGTAACGATCGCCGTTTAATAACATTCTCTTCTGAAGCGTGTATGTGTGTGCGTGTGAGTGTGTGACGATGTGTCGCGAGGATGAAATCGAGATTTCTTCGTATCACTTTTTCTCCCTCGACTGAAATACAACGATTCGATTCCTATTCGTTACATTTCTACTTGTTTGTTTTTTTGTTTTTTTTTTTGTTTTTTTTTCTTAGAACGTCCATGCACTACTGACTCGATTCTACGAAATGCACGAAGGTGTTTTATTTACGAGAGACAGATAGAGAGTCAATAATTATTATTTCCTCGCACGAACACGATCTCTCTGTGTGTTCTTGCTCCTTTTCCCTTGTTCAACGTAATCTTATTCCCTTTCCTTCTAGGAGATGAAACCGTTAAGTTGATATTCTTGGTTGAAACGCGCGTTCCGCGACGAATTAGAGGATTAGACGATGTTCGCCTTCGCTATGGAGTTCCCCATCATGACCTTGTTCACGAAATTCACTATGGCGGTGGCCGGTTGCTCTGGCTCCAGTTCAGCGAACACGTGACACTGATTGTCCGATTTGTGGGCGGGTTTTCGGGCCACGAATCCGAAGCATCGACTGGAAAAGACGGATTACTCGTAAAGGGAGTGCTAAAGTGTTCCACTGAATGATAATTTTAAGATACGTCAAGTTTTCTCTTAATTGTAGGGCTTGTAACAAGGTAAATAATGTTTAATGTTAAAATTAGGTTAAACGATCAGATAAATTTTGGTATTTTTCTGGCAAAGAAGCGAAGCGCGATAAGAATATAGATTTTTCTAAATTTTTAGTAAAATTGAAATTTTACTTCGTCGTTAATCTTCGAAGATGAAAACAAAATTTGTCTCGGTTCCCTAACGACGAAGAAGAAGAAACTTACTGTGCACTGACTGGTCGTCCTGTGTCCTCGCTAGTGAAGTCCCATGTTCGTTCCTCTGTGTCCAGGCCACAGTAACTGATATTATTCGTGGGATAATGTCTGCGGAAGAATAGCTTCCTCGCGTTATCTGTCAGCGTTATTCCCTGCGTGGACACTTTGAAATGAACTATAGTCGCGGTAGGCAGTGGCTTCTGTTCGAACATGGTCGTGACTGCCTTCTTGATGGCCTGAGGACCCGTCAGTGACTCCGTGTCCATGGTGAAGAGATATAAAACGTTGCAGGCTGAAAGAAGAATCACGAAGAACCGTAAATAAAAAGATTACCGAAAAGAAAATTGTCGGATCGTTCAGAAAGTTCGTAGGGAAACTTTAAACCGACGCATTTGTGTCCCTAATTAAGATAACGATCAAAATTAAAATGAATTTTATTAGAAATTTATTTTTTGTGGCGGAGCATTGCAATTCCTGTTCCAATTGGATTTGTCTTCGAGCAACGATTCAAATACAACTCAATTTTCTTCAATATCTCAATTAGCGACAGAGGCACGTGAATTTGAATTTTTCCTCAATTTTCCTACAAATTTTTCGATCGACCTAACAATAAAATTGTACCTGCACCCTGTGCGAGCAATTGCTGCGCGCTGTTCGTTCCAGGTGAATCGAGGGCTCTGGCTGCAGCTTCCGGTTCTGGGAGCAACAGCTGGCAAGGTAGAGCCATCGCCATCAAGCTGTGCTGGTAAACCAAGGCCGACAGCGAGCTGAAAACTGGCTCGTTCGCGCAACCCTTCAATCTGACGCCTCTGGAGGTGGGTTCGATCAAAAAGTGCCTGACCAGCTCGCTAGAAGGATCTCTGGGGCTGCTTGGCGCACCTGGAGGCGGAGTTGCTACCTTCAACGCTAGCCCAAAGGCTCCTGGGAAGGAGTTGCTGTCTCGAACGACGAACGTTCCTGGTGCTGCATCCTTCAGCATCGAGATTGCTGGAAAATATTCCAATTGATTTTCTTAACTTCGTCTAACCCTTTGCAACTCTTTAGTTTCGAGTAGTTAGCGATAAATCAGCAATATTCCTCTACCATCTCGCTGTATTAATTAAAATTACGAATTCTACGTCTTTACTCTCGAGTGGCTAGCGATAAATCAGCAATACTTCTCTGCCACCTCGCTGCACTAATTTAAGAAAAAATCACGAATTCTACGACCTAAGAAAAAAATTACCTTGCTCCCGGGATATGTTTGGCTTGTACCAGATCCTGCTGGTGTCACGCACAAATTTCACATTTGCATCGGCCACTTCCTGCGGCTCTGTGTTCGAGTGAACGCTCGACCGTCTCGAACCGTAATACTGGACTTGAGGAGACGACTGACCACCGCTGTTTATTGAAGTATACGACGTGGCGCTCTGAAAAGTCAACGTTTCAACCTTTCATTCTCACGATTCGCAGCATAAAAAATGAAAAGCGATCGAAAATCATCAATGTTAACACTTTAAGCCGTAATATGTGGACTAGCGATTAAGCGCCGGCCCCTCTAAATGCGTTTCTACACGTTTGTGCAGAAAAAAATATGATATCTCACGAACAGCAAGTGGCTAAACATTTACATCGTTAAAAATCGCAGCTGTGCTTGTAATAAGCACCGCGTAAAATTCTTCAATCTGAATTTTCCGCTTTACAAGAGTTATTTTATCTTCTTTCGTAAAACTGCATGTTTCTATCTACAAAACTCGTAAATATCGCGGCGCTTTAAGTCAAGTTTCTAAGAAACAAGCCGGCGCTCGAAGTGTCAAAAAGAAGTGTTCTTCCCGCACGTACCTTAGGACTTTGGGAGAACTCGATGTGCGTCGGAGTGCCGGGGCTGCGAGAGATTGCTTGCGACTGCTGCATCGTCGACTCGTTTATCGGAGAAACAGATCGGTCCTTGCTACAAGGAAGCAATCACACGCGTATCGTTACAAAGCGCATCTCAAGCAGGATTGTTTTTCCACGTGCAGGCAGACGCGTGTGTATTTCTGATCACTGTGTATGTATGTATACGTGTGTACAGTCAGGTGAGAGACTCGTGCAAGGTGGTGGCGTACGCCGTGAGGAAACATCGGAAACGCGGTGCGGCACATACAAGAATGACAGAGAAAGAGAGATCGATCGACAGGAAGGAGGAATATATTTATATGTAGTATAAAGGAGAGACAGGCAAAAAGATAGATAAATAGAGAGAGAGAAAAAGAAACACGATCGAACTAATATACGTTGTATCACGGACAACTTCCTTTTTCAAACCTAGGAACAACAATTCACACACGTCTATGTACACGTACGATTGACGAGAAAAATACACTTGTCACGTGGAGTAAACGACAGTATTATTTTACATGTTAATCAGCGACATCGAATCATTTGCCGTCGTTAGATGTTTGCACACCAAGGAACGATCAATCGTTTCCTTCTTCGTTCTCTTTTTTCTTTTTTTTTGTTTTCCATTAATACGAAAAGCCTGTCGATGAATTATTATGAAAGTTCCCTGCGATCAGCTGTTTCTATAAAATCATTTTCTCGTTGCACTGGTGATGATGTTTTTTTAAATACATTCGTTGCATGAGAATAATGCTTTCAAAGTGATTCACGATGCAAGAAGCTCGAGCTTTTGTTAGTTCGACAGGTGCAATATACACACACACGACAAATATAAAATGCGTGTCCTCAGTTCTTCGTTTAATATTTTGCTCAGATAGCGATCTGCAAAATTGCAACTGCATCGATCGAATTCTGTGAAATTGTACAGTCTCGACTTGCCTTTTCCTTTTTACAAACATTCGAATGGTAAATTATTGGAGACGATCGATTCTGACGGAATACGAACACACGTTTTTCAGGGAACCGATGCAGTTGCACTGGAAGTGTGCACACGGTTAGTTGGCACGACATTAAACATTCACGTGGCATCCGCGAAATCGAGCCGCGTTTCTGTCAACCAGAAACGCGAGAGATCATCACTTGCCACGCGTTCCAGTGCTCTCAAATAATATATTACCTATAGTCGAACGACGCCGATTGGTTAGTGAGAGGCCATCGTTTGTTATGCGTTTGTTTAAGTGGCCCGCTTGCCGGGAAACTCAAGCGTCTAGAATCACGAATATCAATCTGCGTCACAATCACTGCCTCCATTCAGCAATGCTCGATGGAAAATTATCATCGGTGAGATCTTTCAAAGGAAAGAAAAAATATCGCGTGTCCAGTTCGATATTAACTGTTCTCCCTCAAAATCGCGAACTCGTAACATTTATCGTTAAATCAATCGTAACATAAGCTGATACTAATTGGAAGATAAAAAGAGATCAATTGTTCGAGGCAGATAATAGAAACTTTAGAAATTCCTATTAATTTCATTTTTTACACTTCCGCCGATTTTATCACGCGGAATCAAGCGTTTGAGAAATTCAAATATTACTTTAGGCTAATCAAAGGAATAAAACACGTCAATTATCGATGGAAATTAAGAAAATTGAGGTTAATCCAAGTTACCTCTGTGTTGTCGGACTCTTGGGTGGAAGTCCCGTCTCCTTCGAGACTTCTCTTCGTTCTTCGATGTAGATCGTTCGTTCGTCGGCGTAATTCCCGACGTTGTTGTTGTTCCCGGTTGCCTCGACGTTGTTCAAATTGTTGTTGTTGTTGTTGTTGTTCACGTTGTAGCTGGTGTTGGACGTGCTGTAAGATCGATCAGCCGCGAACGTTACCGTTGGCGAGGAATTGTTCACGTATGGTGTTCGAGGATGCACCGGAAACGCTGGGGTTTGCGGCCTCGACGCGCTGCTCACCGCTACACTTCCGGGGCTGATGCTCCTCTCGGTCCACGATGACCCAGAGTCATTGTGCGACTGCAAGTTTTCGTCGAACTTTACGTGCGTTCGGTATTGGGAATTTTTTATTTTTTTTTTTTTTACAGATATGTTTAATGGAAGAAAGGTGCTGCACACTTCTAATTGCTCTGTGCTTCCGACTAAAGCGAGGCGTGCCAAGCAATTTTGAAATGTACATTCTAAATGACTGGGTGAAATGTGCGAGGGAATGATCGGGGAGAAATCAGATATTTTAGGTAAAATCAAATATCCTCGGATGGAATTTCAAAATTTCTCATATTAAAGAAATGTTGATTTTTTAAATTTAGATTTAGATTTTTGTGGATCTTTGGAAAATATAGATCTTTACAATTAAATTGACCATTCTGTGTATGCCTGGGATACAGTTCTCCTCTGTTCAATTTTTATTGTACATCATATTTTTCAATATTAAAAAAATTTGTTAAAAATGTCAAATCTCTGTGATCATCCTCGAACACAGGCACGAAAGTGAAAACAGTGTGCAAAGTGAAACTACAGAAGGATTCCCGCGGGAGTAGGCTGGACAAACCTGGGTGCAATTCTGCCATGCTTTGGGCGACTGGTTAGGGGAGCAATTAGTGATGGCGTTAGCAACGTTGCTGCTCGCAGTTGTCGTGGTTGCTGTGCTGACACTCGTAGGATGATCGTTCATGTCTGTCTTGTTGTTAGTCACAGATTGGGGCGATCGAACGGGTGAAATTTCAGCCAGTGATTGAATGAGGCTCACGAGAGGGTCTGTATTATTCTGCGTGTTCGATTGCTGATCGACCATTGCCAGCAATCCAGCGTCCACGTGGTCGATGCTCCTGTTGTTGCTGTTCAACGTGGTTCTATTGAGCGTCTGATAAGTAACGACACGATTTCGCGATTCTGGACGAGAATTACGAGTCGTAGACGTGATGAAATCCTGTTTCTGATCCGTGTGATTGCCGAGGACATTGCTGCCGGCCAATTGCTGTTGCTGCTGTCGGTGTTCACGCAACAACGCGTCCGCACGTGCGAAACTATCGCTACGAGACTCGGGACGTGGCGGTTGAGTCTTGTCCGTGTTAATGAACGTCGCTTGTTGCTGCATTGCTAATCCTAAGGGTTGCGTGCTTGCTAAGCCTGAGCGGGGGGATGTCGGAGGGCTCTGAAAAGCAAGCGAAGCGCTTCATGCTAGAGGGAGGGCCGCTAGCCCTTTTAATCCTTTCCTGCCGCCGCCTGTTTACACGCGCTGATTTTCTATCAGCGATCGGATTACCCTGATTCGCCATTAGCACGTTAATCGCGTTAATCTTTCCCCGGTTATCTTTCGATATGCACAATCTTCCGTGCGAAGGTCTCGGGTTAGAACGATAACGAACTTTCCGCAGACTGCTTTGTGACTGCTCTGTGTCGAAGGGAGGGATGATTCTTTACGATATATTACCGTGAAATATATTAAATTTCTGAAATTTTTGTCAAGGAACTTTTTATCGACGGTGAAAGAATTTCGAACAAAGTTTCGTAGAATAAATTGAAGTTATAGGAAAATGTGTGCTTCCAATTGGACGTTAAGTAACGCCTCGGCGAAGAAAAATCGGGCAGAAGAAAGGGTCAGGCTGTACTCCAAGGATGCGCTTATTTCTTGCGGCGTTTACAGCGTAAAGGGGGGGGGCCCTGTTTCTTACTGTTTAGGATCTAACTGTGGGGCATAACCATAAAACACGGGACCGAAGAAGGAAGCTGCTTTTACAATCGCTATCTATAAAGGGCGGGCTAAAATTGTAGCGTTCGTGCTGCCGCTGTTTCGTTCGCTTAAAGGTAGAAATCGATCGTACAGCTGTTCTCGATTTATTATCCTTATTACGGGCAATTATTTTAAGTACTTCGGTGCTCGAGGTAAAACAACGTTGCCTTCTGTACAGACGACTTAATAAATATTCATCCTATAATCAACACGACGATAAAACATTCGATGCTTCTGGACATTTTGAAACGGTAGTTGAACACGACCGATCGATTTCTACCGATACGTGCGTCTGTTGTAACAGCAAACTATACTTTCTTCGGTCTTTCGTCTAGCTATTCTCTGTTTCTAAATGCTACACTTCCTCGTTTACCTGGCTGTCGCTGTACTTTCGATATTCGTACGCTCGTTTCATGGACATGAAGGGACGTTCGTTCACGCTCTCTGCCCGTGGTCTTCCTAGGGTACCGGTTCCGACGGTACCATTGTACTTCCGGCTGCTCGATCTTTGCGGCAGCAGAGGACTCGCTGGCGCGGATGTGTAGGGAGCTTGTCTCGTTTGCATCTATATTTACATTGATTCGTAGTGGGTAAGGAAAAATCGTAGTGAAATTATGTGAAAAAGGGGAATAATAAAGAATGACTGAAAGACGAGGAAAATGGAAGATACTGAGTTAAGGATGATTGGATTAAGAGTAGCTTATCGCAACTGTGACAAGTTTTTTAATTTCATTATTCAAATTAACTCCTTGTGCTGTCGTTTAATCTTCAATATTTTATTCTAAGAAAAAAAATGTATACTGTGCAATAAAAATGAAGATAAAATTATGGAACTAATATTAAGTTGATAAACCTGTAAGTGGGTAAAGAAAAATCGTAGTCAAATCACGTGAAAAAGGGAATAACAAAAAATGATCGAAAGACGAAGAAAATGGAAGATACCGAGTTAAGGATGATTGGATTAAGAGCAGCTTATCGCAACAGTGACAAGTTTTTCATTTAATTATTAAAATTATGCCAAGAAAAAATGTACATTGTGCAACAAAAATAAAGATAAACTGAACTAATATTAAGTTGATAAACTTGCAAATAACGTATCATATAGACGAGGAATTCAGTGATTTGAGATATTTCCGCGTTATTTCTTACCTGTCCGGAAGTGGTATTGGTGGCCCACGTGTCATCATCATCGTCCAGAACCGCGGAATCGCTGGCATAACCATCGTGCCTCAATCTACCTCTCTGTAGGCTTCTCAGTTCACCGATCACTCGATTTCCGGTCTCCTGCCGCCAAAGTTTCCCCGGGTTTCTTTCATCCCTCCTCGCGGCAAGTTTCAATTGCTGCTGCCTCAGCCATGATAATCTGCCAACAGCGGGGAGAGTAAGGTGAAACTTCGCCACTCTGTGTCGGAACTTTCTCAATCGTCGTATCACGCTCCTACCAGCGATCTCGTTCAAACCACCACGACAAACGATATTATAGTATCAATGAAAACTTACCAAAGTGTCCTAACCAAGCAAACGTTATCGTTAATAAACTTCTTCGGAGAAAAATTACGAAAAACTCTGCAGTCTTATCGAAACGTGAAAACTTCGATTTTTCGTATCATCCTTTGCGGTTCACGATGGTCCACGATATTTTAGCAAAAAAAGAGCGCTACTCTCTTGATTACCCACAAAACCCCGTTCGTTCGTTCCAATTTCCTTTCACGAGCCACGGGCAAAGGAAAGCGCAAGGATTAATCGCGCGAAAGAGAACCGGAGAAAAGCATCTTGGTCCCTCTCAGCGACACCGGAATAATTCCTCGCGCTCGACAAAGGGCAAAAGAAAGCGCAGTCCGTGAAGGATGCGCCAGAGATCCTCTGTCACCTGTCACAGATTAGAATCTCCGGCTCGCTCGGGCTGTCTCCCTTCCCCCCGCCCGGGAGCAGCTGTTTTCATCCTGTAAATCGTGATTTCTCGCTTTCCTCGCCTAACGCGTCGCCGACTCGAGTTACTCGCGAGCAGACGACGAAAACACGAGAAGCTACTTTCACGATGGAACACGAGACGCCGCGAGTCGAGTAACAAAGCCTCGTTAGAACGACCACGTCACGGTCCCAAGTCGGAAGAGGGGCCGGAATCGGGGACCTCCTACCAAGATAGATCCTGGATAATTGCATCCTGATCGATGAGGTCGCTCCAGGCCATCGATTTCAGGCCTGTGCTCCAGCCTCACGGTGTTGCACAGCTCGTAATAAATGGATCAGTACCACAAATCGATCTCCCCCCTCTCTCTCTCTGTTACTCTGTTCCATTCGTTTCTGTTTACGACTAACGAAATTTATACTTTGCCTCTGACCGGAATGGCCACACCCTTGCAATCCCAGGCCGGAGGATCGTAAACTGTTGGGCGATATAACAGGACGGTGTTACTGGATGGAGAGCACGTCGAATGGAAATATTTTCCTCTTTCCAACGATTCTCTCTCTGTCTTCTACTCACTCTCCTTCGCCTCGACTGGTTATTACAGACGGAGCTGTGGAATTGGACTGGTAAATTAATTCGTTCACCGGTGGTTGTGAGAGAGAGAGAGAGAGAGCGTCGGCTACGTCATAAATGAATATTTGAGCGAAAGGATGCGTTTATCCAAGCCTGGATGACGTTAATGGAGCTGAGGATTAAAGGACGAACGATCGCCACGAGACTCTTTCGACGAGAAGCTAATTTACATCGAGATCAAACGAGGGTTATAAATCGGCGCCGGTAGAACAGATGTAAATAGAGTTTCTGGTATTTGGTTGTTCGAGGATTGTGAAGGGATCTTAGCTGTTCGTGGCAGCACGAAACGATGTATGTTCCACGTGTATGGGAAATTTGCAAGTTTAACGATCGGTATCTAGGATTTGTAAAAATTTGGGGTAGACTAAATTAACCCTGAATTTCTATTGACCGCATCGATAATGATATTCAACGCACTCCCTGCTATGGTAGAACAATAAATTCTAGCACAGAATTGAATCATTAATTAGAAAAAAATATCGACACGGGTTGAATTCTCGACACTCTAATCTCTCCGCGTATTTTACCCGAGCACCGAGTCGAAGAGTAACTGTTTCCCTCTAATGAAAGTTCCATTTCTGAAAAGTGGTACACGCAACGTGTTAGAGAATATTTACGACAATTGACGATTATACAACAAACTTAATTAGTTTCCTTTCTAAACTTGCACGCGGATTCGCGCGTAAAAGAAAGACCGTAATGTAAGAAGCGAGGTAAAATTCGCGGGATAGCCGCTTCTTAGGATGCCCGAGCATAATACAAGTTATTAATCACGCTGAACGTGAGGAATCAGTACCCAAGAGAAATTGCAATGGTAATTGCATATGCATGCGTGAACGCGAGGAATTCATTCGCGTAACGACGCAATGAAACGTACACGGATGGGGCTCGGTAGTGAAATTAAAATGCCCCTTTTCCATCTGCGTGATAAAAAACAGAAAAAAAAAAAGAGAAGAAAAGGCCAACGCGTACGAATTTACGAGGATAAGCGTTCCCCGTTGTCGGTTTCGAATAAACTGGACAGTATCTCTCGTTCCCCGGGCAGAAAGACTCGTGCGTTTCGAATAATAAAACGGCTCGTTACGTTACTGTAATTTTTTTCGGACACGCGACCGCCACTTTCGAAATTCTCCCCGGGCTGTTTCGTATGCTAGGTGAAAAACAAATCCGTTTTACTCCTCGTGTCCTCTTCGCTGCGACGAAAATAATAGCGTATACACTTTTTACCGTGTCACATTACTCCTGGTTGTCTGATAAATCTTGGAAAATTTCGTCTGCATATCTGTATTCTCAGAATGCAAAATTTCATTCTAATTTAGTTCTAATTAATAACACGCGTCACAGATGAACCTTTAAATTAAAAAAAGAATTGTACATTCGTACACTTTTGCGTCTCAGAATGCAAAATTTAATACGGAAAAGTGGCATTTTAATTGAATTTCTGTACAATTACACGCGTCACAGATGAGACTTTAAATTAAAAAAAAAAATTGTATCTTTATACACTTTTACGTTTACAAGCAAACCGAATTTCACTTTCTGTATCGTTCGATTCCACAGAAAGGAGCTTACAAATGGATAAATCCCTGAAATAAGGTTTGTCGACGGAGCCGTGGAAGCGCAACGATGGCGTTTTCCTGGAGATGCGCTATTTTCTGCCGGTCCACCGTGAATTTCCCGCGGTCTCTCCCCCCTTTCGGGAATAAAACGGCGGTCAGAGAAGCAAGGGGAAGGACGGACCAGTGTCTAGGATCGTCCGGAAAGGATGTCGGAAACGCGAGCTCGTCGAGGAAAATTGTTACGAGGCTTTACGAGCGGCTGCTTTTGTGCTCCTGCTTTTACTTCGAATGACTTCCGCATTCGAGTGCTCCGGTTCCGTGGAGCTCTCCCTCTCTCTCTCCGGCGGCGATGGAAAAATTGCCAGCGGAAAACAAAGAGGACAACGAATGAAACGAAGATGTAGAAGAAGAAGAAGGGAGACGGGACGAGTCCCAGTGGCGGCCGATT